CTCGGGGAAACCCCACGTTTCCAAGCGTTCGTTGCTCTCTCGACGCCGGCATGGTGGGCAGAGTGTGTTCCAGAAACTGCGTGGCTGTGGTTCACCTGCCTTTGCCCGTCTTCCTGGCTGGGGTCCGGCTGACGGCACTCGCTGCCCAGGCAGCAGGTGGTCTCGGCTCTGCCCTGCGGCGTCGGGGGGCCGTGGGCGCCGTTGCTGTGGGCACAGCAGCGGTCCTTCCCGGTCAGCCTGCCCGAGGCACCTGGGGGAACCGGAGCCCAGAGGGTGAGAGCCGGTGCGGCCCGTCCAGGTGGAGCCGGGCCGGTGCCGAGATGCCGTGCCGGGAGTGGTGGGGCTGTGCCGACAGGTGTCGGCGGGAGGAGATCTCCGAGGTGGTGGGGTTTTCAGAACTCACGGGTGGGGCCCCCCCGTTGCTGCACGGCGTCAGGACGCGGTTCCCCGGCGCGCAGGCGCGCCGCTGAGGGACCCGCTCAGGCCCCCGGCTGCCCCGTGGCGCCGTGTGGGGAGGGGCCGAGCGGGCAGGCAGGGGGGACAGTGCGGCGGCGGCGGCTTCGGGGGCAGACTGCTCAGGTGTGCAGGCGGAGTTCCTGCCGGGGGCTGGCGGGCCACAGCCAGCTCTTTGTGCAGCCTGCGGGGTAAGAGGAGTTGTTCACGTGTTAAACACGCTGTGCTCCGGCGACAGCGGCGTCGGCAGGGGGTCTGCGGTGGCACCTGTGCCTTGTGCGCTCTGAGCCGCCTCGGGGAGAAGACTCCTCCCCCGCCCTGAGCTCCAGACCCCGGCCTCCCCGCCGGCCTGCGGCTGGGCCGACCCCGTGGGTGGAGCTGCCGCAGCGCGGCCTCCACGGGAAAGGCGGTGCGTCTTGTTTTCCTGGAGAGTCTCCCTGTCGTCGTCGGTGACGCGCTGGCAGGCGCCAGGGCAGGGGGCCTTCCAGGCGGGCGTGCCCCGCGGGGTGTCACCGCGACGTTGGGAGCCCGCGATCCGAGAGCTGTGCTGCGGTCGGGGTGCAGGTGCGCGGAGGCCAGTCCTGGGGCCCATGTCCAAGTCCTCTCGCCGTGGACAGGACAGTGCCGCGTGAAAGGTGTCGGGGCCCAGTCCCTGTGGGGTGGGCCGTAAAAGGCGTGTGGGCCTCGTCAGCGGGCTCTTCCGAGGGGGCTTCAGCCAGGTCCCATGATGTCCCGCTTGTGCTTGCCGTGGGGACCAGCGTCCCCGTCCTCTTCCCGGTGCAGCCGCTGCTCCTGTGAGCCCGGTGAGCCCCCGCCGCCGCCGGCTCGGGGCGGCCATGAGTTACCGCTGCGCAGTTCGCGTGGCCGGGCGTTTGTCACTCTTGGTTGCGGTGTCCCTGTGGCCTCCCCCCCACCCAAGGCGCTGCTTGCTCCTCAGCCTGCCCACCTGAGCAGCCCCCTGCTTTGATGGGCTGGGAAGGCCACAGCCTCTTCCTGGGCTCCCTGGGAATCACCCTGACGGGGGATCGAACCGGCGATCTGCTGCTTTGCGGGAGAAGGCCCAGCCTGCGGGTCCGGGCTGTGCGTGCCTTGTAGGAGCACGGGCGTGTTTCTAAGCACCCAGCCCCGTGAGCAGAGTCCGCACGCGCAGCACCGGTGCCAGGCTGTGGTCTGCCCCGGGCTCCGCCGTGTCTCCCCGCCCCACGGTGCAGGGCCGAAGCTGCACGTGCCCCCCCCCCCCCTTCACTGGGTCCCGAAGGTGCAGGGCCGCCTGCTGCGCTGCGCCGTCCCCGTCTCTGGTCGCTGCAGCCGTTCTCGTGGGTCACGTTGTGGGGGTGCAGCCCCTTTCTCGAGGGGCGGCTCTCGGATCCGGCCCTTCCAGGCAGAGCACCCGCGAGTGTGAGCGGGGCCCCCCGAGTCCTGTCGGACTCCCCCTCCGTCCATCCGTCCGGGCCGTCCTGTGTCTCCTGCACCGGCGCTCTGCTGCAGCTGCGCTGTGCGCTCGCCTGTGGGGGGCTGCCCTGTCAGCCTCCCCAGGGACCCCAGCTGGCTGAGAGGCGCCTGTCCCCCGGGAGCAGCCCCCCCCCCGGGGTTTTGCTCCGGGAGCGCAGAGACGAGGAAGCCAGCTCGCGGCGGCGGCGGCGGCGGCGGCGGCGGCGGCGGCGGCGGCGGCGGCGCACCTGTAGTTGGTGGAGCGGGTCCCCAGCCCGCCCCTGAAGCGGGGACGGGCGGTGGGGGCGGGGCTGCCCTTGGGTGCCTGTGCGCCCTCCTCCCCGGTTCCGCGTGCAGGGCGGCAGGGCGGCGTGCCTGTCCCGCGGGCGCTCGCAGTGCCTCGGGCGCCAGCAGGTGCCCTGGGTTGTTTCCTGCACCGAGTGGTCCCACTGTGTTTTCAGGAGGCCGCTGGGGTTAGCCCGCGGGCTGTGGGGCGCGGCCTCGCAGACTCCAGAGCCGGGCCGGCCCGGCCCCCTTTGTTTTCTGCTCCCGCCGCTTCTGCCTCTGCCTCTGCCTCTCCGGCGGTGCTGGCGCCCTCTGCTGGCGGAACGGGGGGCTGCCCGCGCGCGCGCGCTCCCTGCGGGCTGTGTCGCCTGTGAGGTTCTGCGCTGGGTCCCCTGGGCTCGCTGCAGCGCGCTGGGCGCCTCCCGTGCGCTGCGGGCGCTGGGCCTCCACGGCCCGCAGTCCGCCGGCGCTGTCGCTGCAGCGGGGGGGCGGCTCCTCCCCCCGGGGTCGCCGTGGTGCCGTCTGTCGCCGGGGGACCCTGGCCGGCGCGCCGGGACAGGGCTCCTGTGGAGGAGGGGTTCACCGTCCCAGCAGCCCCTCTCAGGAGCGGGCTCGGGGAGGGCAGCCCGCACGCGTTCTGGACAGTGGTGACGGGCGCCCCCTCCGCCCCCTCCGTGAGCTCCCCTCTGCCTCCGGCCGGAGCCCTTTCTCCTGGTTCCCTCTCCCTGACCTCCCCGGTCCTTGGCGTGGCCGACCCAAGCGGCACCAGTTGGAGTGCTGGCGTCTGTCTCCCCGGGTGCGGAGATCTAAGCTGTCGACCCTCCGCTCGGGGAGGAGAGACCGTGGACTCCCGAGTGCCCCCTCTTAGGGAAGGCGGGTGTTGCTGTCCGCTGGATGGCTGCAGAGGGCTGGGCATGTTACCTGTCTGTCTGGGTTTCCCTGTTTCGCTGCTCCTGGCCTCCTGAGCTGTCTCCCAGGGACGTGCTGTCCAGTCACTCAGCTGCTCGTCAAGTGTGACACCAGATCAGAATGTTCAGGTTGGCTCAAGGACCGCTCTCCCCCCTTCCCCCCTTCCCTGTGTGGAGCTAAGGCCGTGGAACCCTGGGGAGCTGCGAGTGTTAACCGGGCGGGCAGAGCTCCAGAGGCGGAGCCTGGGGGTGGGGGGGGGCTTTGTGCAGAAGCTACACAGTTCTGGAAGAACAGCTTCTCTCAGGCATCACTCCCTCAAGCCTGTCAGTTAAGGCTAAAGCCCTTAACCTCTGGGTCCGTCCGTCGCCCCCTGTTAGTTTCAGTGGCGCCGTGTCTGTGGGATTAGTTACAGACCGACACGACGTGCGACAGAAGCTGCACGGTTTTGGGGGAAGGGCAGGCTTCTGCCTCAGAGCCCGTCCCCCCCGGAGCACCCAAAGGGTAACCCTGCTGCCCCGGCCAGGACAGCCCGATCCTCGGCGGTGCCTGGAGTCCGTCTCTTGCCCACAGCCCACCCTTGGGGACGCGCAGGCAGCTGCAGCACCCTCCTCCAGGCGTCCCCTCCTCCAGGCGTCCTTGAGGGAGAGAGTCCCTCTTCCTGGTTTCGACACAACGAGCGGATGAGACGGCGCAGAGGGGCCTGGGCCCTTGTAAAGGGGGGGGGTCAGGAACAGGGACTGCAGTTGGCTTTTTTCTTTTTAAGTTTTTTAAATGTATTTATTTTTAGAAAGAGAGAGAAGTATCAGTTGGCTGCCTCTCACGTGCCCCCTACTGGGGACCTGGCCTGAAACCCAGGCATATGCCCTGACTGGGAATTGAACTGGCGACCCTTTGGTTCGTAGACCAGTGCTCAGTCCACTGAGCCGCCCCAGCTGGGGCTGTTCCTCCCCCGTTTCGACATAAAGGTCACAGGACACGGTGCGCCCACTTTTGGGGAGCAGGTCACGGTGCTGTGCCGCCACCGCCTTGGGCTCCTCCCGGCCGTCTCCTCCGCCGCGTGGCTCTGTGTCTTGCGTGTGCCCCGCACGTCCTGCCTGCGGACCGGCCCGTCCCGGCTGTTTCCGGGTGGATGCGGTCGCAGAGCATGTGACCGGCTTCCCCACGGGCTGTCCCTGTGGTGGCGTGTTCGCCCGTGACCCCTCTTGAGGGAGGCATGCCATTCACCGCGGGCGCTGTGCCGCGTGGGGATGTCTGCTCAGGCACCGGCGGGCGTTGGCACCCCCCCCCCCCCCCGCCGCCCACTGACCTCCGTCCTGGGGGCTGCGAGCCCAGGGGCCAGGCGGGTGGCGGGTCCCGGAGTCTCAGTCGAGCGTTTTGAGGAACCAGGGACCTTTCGCCTCCCACGCCCACTGTCCCTGCCGGGAGGAAGGTGTGAATCGCTGCTCTGCTGAACCAGCGCCCTGGAGCCCCCAGTCCCCGGGGGCAGCGCCAGTGTCCTCAGGCCGCCTCCGCCCCCGCCCAGGTGTGCAGCGTGCGCTCGGGGACGTGCACACCCGCGACTTTCCCCGCGGGCGCGGTCTGACTTGGAGAAACCCGGAGACGTGCTGAAGTGTTTTGAAACTCGCGTCTGGGAAGGAACAAGCAGGAGTTGCAGGGAACTGGAGTCCGCGCCGGTGGCGTGGTGGCGGCCGCCGGGGTCCGGGAGCGCTCTCCGGTGGACTGGCCGGCACTTAGGGGGCCCTTGGCCAGTGGCCCCTTCGAGAGTCGGAGCAGTGCCTGCCACGCCGCAGGGGCGAGTCTGGGGCGCCACCGGGGAGAATCGGGCTGGGGGAGGGCTGGGTCCCGGCTCCCTCGCCCGCAGGGCAGGGCCCCCCCACCCGCCAGGCACAGCTCAGACGCAGCCTTTCCTCTGTCTGTTGCAGACGCTTCCCGTGGGCTGGAGACCGGACTGGAAGCCCTCCTGACTTAAGGTAATTTCGGTGTAACTGATCCGTATCAGTTTTTAGAAACAGCATTTAAATTTTCTCAGGTTCTTTTTCCCTTTAAGCAGCCTGGTTTGGCCGATCTCTCTCTTCAGCCCAGAGTTGGTCTTCAGAACAAGCCCAGGGAGAAGGGGGTGTTTTTCCTTTTCGCCCGCCCTCCCCCAGGACGTGTCTGCGCTGCTGTTGCGGGAGGGGAGGGTGGGGGAGGGAGAGACATGGGTGGGTTGCTCTCGAGAACGCACCTGGACCCGGTGGTGGGTGCAGGGCGCTGCCCTGCCCGGCAGTGGGAGGGAGGCTGCCCGAGGCCCGGGGAGACCTTCAGGGTCAGGGGTGCACCCGGCTCAGCGCTTGAGATAAGGCCCATCCACGTCAGGCTGTAGATGGGAGGGGGCCCCTGCAAACAACTTATTTATAAAACATTGTGTGTGTCTTCTTAACTCGTTTAAACTTAAGTCCCGTTGGAGGTCCTCTCCCTCCAGCGCGGCGCTCCTGTTCAGACGACTCCCGGCTGCTCGGAGCACTGGGCGCTGCTTTGGGGCCCGGTCAGAGGGGCAGCCTTGGGCAGACGGCGACGCACGTCCCCTGGTGGCAGTGTGGGCAGCTGCGGGGCCTCTCTGAGGGCGGCGGTGACACGGGCGTAGCGCCGCAGGGGCACCAGGGTCCGCGGGGCGCCCGTGTCCTTGTCGCTCCTGTGCGGCCGGGAACTGGGGCGAGCCCGCCGGCACTTCCGGAGCCGGCCCCCCAGGTGGGTGGTGGGCGGTGCTGTCCCCGTCCCGACTCTGGTCCTGGGAACAGGACGTGTCTTGCCCCCGGGGTCGTCGTGCAGGGGGTGCCCAGCACATGGGTGGAGGGGCCCGCGCCAGGCTCTGGTGGTGCAGAGCCAGGGGTGCTGCCGTGTTTCCAGGAGGAGTCGGTGGTTTGGGCTCGAGCGGCCGCTCACCCCTCGCCCAGTGAGGAAGCAGCAGGCCGCCGAGGCTCCCGCGGCAAAGCCGCCGGCAGAGGCGCGTGGTCACTGGAGGACCACGGAGAGCGCGGCGGCGTCAGGAAAGACCTGCGGCCGGCTCCCTGGCCCTGTGCCCGGGGCAGGTGCACGCGCAGCAGGCTCTCGGGACGCGCAGTCCGTTTTGGGGGGACGGCTGGGCTCGGCTGCACCCCAGGAGCCAGGCCTGACTCCCTGACACGCCTGCTCCTCACACCACATCGGCAGGAGGCCGCACGCAGGGCCTGTGCTCCCGGCCCCCAGGTGGGGAGGGAGACCACGCACAGGTGCTGTCGTCCCCCTCCCCCCCCCACCAAGAGGCACCTCAGGGTGGGCTGCCTGGGGGCAGCGGGTGCTGCCGAGGGGCCCGTGGGAGGGGCTGGGGAGTCCGGGTCGTCTGCCCTGGGGCTGTACGGCAGGGCTGGTGCGGGGTCTGTTCACAAGAAGCCGCCGCCGGCCTGGGCCGCGGGGGCCCTTCGGGTGCAGGCGGTGCTCGGGGTGGGCGTGCGAGTGCCGGCGTCCCGGGTGGCGAGAGCACGTGGGACTTGTTACGGCTTGGGGTGGTGCGCGCCCCCTCCCCTCCCCGGGTTCCGTGCCGGTGTGCGTGCCCTGGGGCGGGGGTCTCCGCAGCGACCGTCTTACTGGTTTTGGTCCCTCAGGGTGTACTCGCTGGTGTCGGAGAGGGAGGAGCGGGCAGTAAGGGACGAGGGGGACACGCCAATGGGAGGGACACGGCGGTCTGGCCTCCCGAGGGTGCCCCGGCCAGGGCAGGGGCCCACCGCCTCTCCGTGTGCGGAAGTCGCTCTGCCGGCTGCCCCGCCGGGGCCTGCCCCCCGCGGGATGGCACCCCCGCCGCCCTCGGGCCTCGCAGGCGCCTTTGCCCGGCTCCTCCTCTTGGGTCTTCAGAGCGAATTTCAGACTTGCTGCTTCATTTCACTACTGTTTTCTGGTCCTCAGGGGAGGGCTTTTTAGAAGTTGGTGTTGGAGAGAGGGAGGGAGAGCGGGATCCGTGCGAGGGGGACCTCGACCGGCTGCCTCCCGCACGTGCCTGGACTGGGGCCGCCGCGCTCGGGCTGTGCCTGGCAGGAGCCCAGGTGGCAGTGGCACCCCCGCTCGCTGCCCCCCGATGCCCCCCGTGCTGCTGGCACCGTGCGCCACGGAGGGGCCGCCTGTTGCACTTTGGATTTGCAGTCTGCTAGTTTGCGGTGGGGGTGCTTGGACTTGGCGAATAGAGAAAAACAGAAAAGCTCGTGAGGTGGATTTCGGCTCCTCGGGCGAACCTGCACGGAGGTGCAGCTGTGGGGGGGCTCGCGTGGCCCAGGAGGCCCGCAGACCCCTGCCTGTCTGATGCGGGTGGCTCCGTGGGCCGGCTGGGGCCCCAGGACTTTCAGAGGTGACCGCGGCAGGCTGGGCGCAGCCGCCAGCCCCAGGGTGTGGCCGGGGCGCGGTGGCCCCGGGCGCGCCTGCAGCCCCCGTCGGGAGGTGTGCGTCCCGGTCTGACCACAGCAGAGCCGGCAGAGCCAGTGGTGCTGTCCAGCTGCCTCAGCCTCACCCGTGCGGGACGGGGCGCCTCTCTGTCAGGGCCGTGGCGCCAGAGTGAGGACGGGTTAGTGACGGTCACGGTCACGCTCCCCGCCGGTGGCAGGCAGGACCTGGCGGTCACTGTCTGATAGGTGAGTGTGCTTGCACCGTGTCACTGGGAGTGCGTGTGTCACAGGTGGGGGCCTGGTGCCCCCCGACCCCCCAGCGGCGGGGCCACGGCTGCGCTGGTGGCCTGTGCCCTGACACAGACGCCGGCGCCTCTCCTGCCGCTTTCCCGCTTCTTCCGCTCCTGCAGGAGGCGCTTCCCAAGCAGAGGCCCGAGCAGGGCCGGGGTGGCCGTGGGTCACAGGGGACAGAGGGGCGCCTCTCAGCAGGCCCGGTCTTAGTGGATTAGCTGGGCCGCGTGCTGAGTCAGCGCGGTCGCGGCTTAGCGGTGGCTTTGACCCAGGAGGGCAGAAGGGACCCGGGCCGCGGCGCCTGGCGGTGGGGTTGCCGGAGGCTCTGGGGCCGCGGGGAGCGAGGCGAGGGGCTGCGGCAGGAGAGCGTGGGTAAGGCCCGGCCCACCGGCGCGGCTCTGGCGGAGCGGGCCACCAGGGCTGGGGAGCCAAGAGGGGACGGGCCAGCGGTTCCCGAGAAAAGGATGTCCGACTTCCTAGATTGCCTGGGAGCAGGGGTACCGGGCGCTGCCGCCGGGGTCCCGGGAGGCCGCTGCACACGGGGCGCCTCCGCGTGGAGGTGCGGGGGGCCGTCCTGCGCACCGCCCTCCTGACCCCGAGGAAAGACCGTTCCACGCGCGGGGACCTTCCGGCCCCGGGTCTCCGGCACCCCCACCGGCCCCAGCGCCTCAGGAGCTCCTTCCGCCCAGGTCCCTGGGGGTCTCCGGAGGTCTCCGGGTTTAGGCCTCGACTTGGGAATTCCAGCCTTAGCATCGCATTCTGGCCTGCAGAGTAGGGTCAGAGGTCACATTCGTGGGCTGAAACGGAGAGCTTAAGGCCTCGGGCCTTCGGACGACGCGGGCGGGCCTCCCCAGTGGGCCGAGTCCTGTTCGTGGCCCGGCCTGTCTGGGCTGCCGTGCCGGTGCTTTGCCTGCTGGGACCCCCGGGGCCGGCGGGACGCCTCGCCCAGCCCTGCAGAAGCACTGTGCGTCGGGCAGCCCTGGGGCCCCGGCCAGCGCGGTGGCCGCGCAGCACCCGCTCGTCAGGCTGCCGCTGTCCCCGCTCCCAGCCCGGGTCGCCGTGGGGAACGCCATCTGAGTGTCAGCCTCAGCTGCTGGGCTTCTGTGCTGAGACCCAGACCCTGCTTGGGTTGAGAAGGGCCTCGTAACAGCTTCCCTTTTCCAGGCCGCCGCCGCCGGGGGGCGGTCTGTCTGGGAGGCGCTGTCGCTGCGCAGAGCCCGTGGGTGACGGGGTCTGTGGTTCACGCGGAAACCACCACCGCCCTCGCCTGCCTCGGGGCTCCCCCGGCCGGGCGTCAGCCGCGCTCCTGTCTCTGTTTCAGGCCCGACTCTCGGAGGTGACCGGAGCACCCGCGGCCGGAAGATGAGCGAGCTCGACCAGCTGCGGCAGGAGGCCGAGCAGCTGAAGAACCAGATCAGGGTGCGTACCGCCCGCGGCCGCCTCTGCCGGCGTTTGCGTTTTAAGTCGGGTGCGGCCTGGTTTGGGGAAGCCCTAGCCGCAGGATGGCGGTGCGGGGCCGGGCCTGAGACCCGGTCTCTCGGCCCCGGACGTGCTGGTGGCAGGCCCCCCGCCGGCCCGCCTGCGCTCTCAGGGTTCCTCCCGGCCCCTCGCTGTCGGAGCACGTGACCGTGCTCTCGCGAGATTTACGGGACACGGGACACCTTTCTTCTTCATCTCCTGAGGGGGGTGGGGGCAGGGACTGGTTCCACTCACCTGTGCACTCGTCCCTCCGCTCTCACGGGCGCCCCGACCGGGAGCTGGCCTGAGCCGCCCAGGCCGCTCGGCTGGTGCGAGCGCACCGTCAACCTGGAGTCAGCTCGGTGGCGCCCCGCAGGTCCCCGCAGAGGGTGGCGTCTGCCTCCGCCCTCCGGGGCTGTTGCGGGCAGGAAGCGTGTTTGAAAACAGGAGTGTTGTTTTCAGCAGTGGAAGGTGTCCTAGGAGTGCCTGCTCTGTTTATTTCGGAAAGAGGTGTTCCTTAGGGGAGTCTCTCTGGGTGCACGGCTGTGTGGGCTGCTGGAGCTGACACGCACGCCCAGGTGCCAGCCGGCCGAGAGGCTCCGTGGCTGACCTGTGAGGTTGTGATGCAGAGCCCGGGGCTCGCCCTGCTTTCTGATTGGGTGGTTTGGGGGGAGGGGCGGAGACAGGCAGACAGACAGACGTCGGTTTGCCGCTCTACCTAGTGGTGCCCTCCTGGGCTGGTTCTCGCACACGCCCGAGGGCGCACCGCACGACCTTGGACCCATGGAGCCGCCCGGCCCTGGGGCCCAGGGGGCTCTGAGAAGGGAGGAGCAGTGGGTTTAGAAGGACTGAGTTCTGTCGTCCTTCAGTTTTGTAAGGCAGGGCCTCACGAAGAAATCTTTTAAAGGTTTTACTTTATTTTTAGCGAGAGGGGAAGGGAAGGAGAAAGAGGGAGAGAAACGTCCTGTGCGGCTGCCTCTTGTGCGCCCTGGGACCCACACCCCAGGCTCGAGGCCCGACCAGGAGCGGAGCGGCCGCCCTCCTCACTTTCGGGGACGGGGCCCCACCCGCTGAGCCACAGCAGTCGGGGCTGCGAGACAGGGCTTTTGACGAACAGTCCCCGAGAAGCGCTCACTGCCAGCAGGTGTCTGTGCTCGGACCGTTGGTGGGGGGAGTGGGGGAAGGAGCGGCGGGCGCCCCAGAGAGGGTCGCCCCTCAGCCCTCAGCCCGCGCAGACGGGTCCTTCTTCGGGTCGCTGCCCCGGGCCGTGCGGGGGGCTGCCTTCCTCCCGGCCGCTTGAGCCCCTCGCAGCACCACCCAGCGCGGGCCCTGGTCCTTCCTCGGGTCGCTGCCCCGGGCTGCTCGTCACTGCCTCTCCCTTTCCCTTTTTATTTCACTTTTTAATGTTTCATTGTTCAGGCCCCTTTGCCCCCCTGCACCCCCCCCCCCCCCGTTGTTTTCTTTTAAACGACCGGTTACACGCGGACGCCTGGTGGTAGCCGGGGAAGGGGGCGTCCGCATTGTTCCAGCCAACCTTTGCGTGGACTTGAGAACAGGTGCTGGGGCCAGGACGGGCCCAGGAGAGACGGAGAATGCCCTTCTGCCGGCGGAGTTTCGGGTCCTACTGCTGGAAAGCTCTGTTGCAGCTCAGTGAAAACTGGGGCACCCAGCTGCTGTGGCTCAGCGGACTGAGCGCCGGCCTGCGAGCCCGAGGGTGGCTCCCGGGGTCCGACTCCCCGTCAGGGCACCTGCCTGGGCTGTGGTCCAGGGCCCCGCAGGGGGCGTGCGAGAGGCAACCACACATCGTTCTGTCCCTCTCTTCCTCCCTGCCTTCCCGCCTCTCCACAAATAGCCGGATAAGACCTTCGAGAGCTCGAGCAGAGGCAACTGCGAGTCTCTGACCCGCCCTGGTCAGACACGCGCTTGTGGCGGCCCCCCCCCCCCCCGCCCCCCGAGCCCAGGAGTCAGAGCCGTGGGGCTCCGATGGCTCCGAGTCGCCCGCCCGCATGCACGCCTCCGGGCGCGTGTTCAGGTGGATGCAGTCCGTGCGGCTCAGGCGAGAGGGCTGCCCCTCGCGGGAAACCAGGGCTGAGCATCGGCCTGGTGCGGCCTGGCGGGGTGTCGGCTGGCCTCCCCCGCCCCACCCCGGGGCCGCCCTGTGGGCCACCTGTGGGCTGTGCCAACATGGAAAGGGGCAGGTGGCGTTAACTTTTAACAAGCTGTGTCTAAGTCAGCATGTCCAGCCTACTTCTCACGTAGTGAACGTTTTCCTGCTTCGCGCCCTCCTTGCCCAGGGTGTCTCGAGAGGCCCCGTGTGCATGCGCCGTGGCTCCCGGTGCCCAGTGGGCACGGCGGGGCCGCCGGCTGCACCCCCCACCCGGGCCCCCTCTCCGAAGGTGGAGCCAGCTGCTGTCTGCTTAGTGCAGGGACAGCGAAGGCTGGGGGCGTCCCGTACGCCATGGACGGGAGTGGGCAGAGGCACCCTTCCTCCTGGCTGCCGAGGGACCAGGCCTCACAGTGAACGAGGGCCGTGAACGGGACACGGTGGCCGGGCGCAGGGGCCGCCCCCTTCCTTGGTGGGTTCTCTAGTTGAGAGACCCTGGAGGGTTGTCTCGCTCGCTCCCGACCGTGTCTGGGGACGCACGCGGGCCAGGGGCGGTGACGGACGCACCCTGCCGTGCCCAGGTGCCCGCCGGTGCGGCCCTCGCTAGGCGGTAGTGTGGGGGCGCGGCTCTGGCAGCGTGCGGAGGCTCTTGGGAACTGCGGGGCGAGGACGTGGGGCTGGGTGCACCCGAGACTTGACTGAGCCCCTCTTCGTTGCTTTTGTTCCAGGATGCCCGGAAAGCCTGTGCAGATGCAACTCTCTCCCAGGTGAGCACGGGGCCGGCCAGGGCCCGCCCGGCAGGGAAGCAGTGTTTGCAGGACGGGAACAGCTGTCTCTCGAGCCTTAAACAGGCCTCGCCGTGGTGGTGGAACGCCGCGGCCTTGCAGCGAGGCGCGTGGGGGTCCTCTCCTTCAACAGACTTGCCCCGGAAGGTTGTCCGAGAGGGATCGAGGCAGGCACGGATGTGGTGTCCTCTCTCCGGGGCATCGTTGGGTGGTTCTTGTCCATGCCCTGACGGGGGTCGAGCTCACGGGCGTGGTGTAGTGGGATGGCGCTGCGACCCCCGGAGCTGCCCGGCCACGGCCCTGCCCCAGAGCTCCGTCTCCAGAGCTGCACGGGGCAGATCCTCCGGCTGAACCCTGCGTGATGACCGGTCCCCCCTAGACACACGCAGGAGGCCTGAGCCCCGGCGCCGGGAGGCGGCGACAGCCGGGGGTCCAGGAGTGCAGGACAGTGGGCGGGCGGCAGACACGCACGGCGGAGCAGAGCTGGGCCGCTCCCTGCCGCGCCGGCGAACCGCAGAACTGTGCTGCCGAGGGCCCCCGGGCCCTGCGGGTGGGGGCAGTCCCAGGGACCGGGAGTGGGTCGGTGCTGGCCCGGCGCTCGAGGGGGCTGTGGGGGTGGGGGGTGTTCCGGGAGAGGGAGGGGCGGCTCCTCCGCACGACCTGTCGGCGTGCTTGGTGCTGCTGCGCTGGGTGCGCCGGGGTGGCTGACATCCCCGTTAAAGAACTGCTAGTGTCCGAAGGGTCAGCCACGGATGTGGAGGAAGAACTTGATTTCTGCCCAGCGTGAGCTTTCCGCAGCGCCCTGGTCCTCGGCAAGGGGTGCGCTGACCGGGCGCGGCAGTTGGCCAGAGGAGGACTGGGCTGTGGGGGGCGGCCTGGGCGTGGGGGGGCCGTCCTTCGGACCGGGTGTTCGGCTGCCGCGACGCTGCTGGTCCGCTGGTCCATGTGCCCGCCCCAGACCTCCCCTCGATCTCGGGGCGGGTCTGGGGCGGGCACGGGTGGGTCTATGCCGCGGCAGCGCCGGTGCAGAGGGGATGGTAGCCAGCGGCTGGGTAGGCACGGCCGAACGGGCTGCCTGTGCCGTGGGAGCTGGGAGCTGCCGGGCTGGTGGGTGGGGGCCGAGGCGGATGAGAGCAGAGAGGGCGGGGCTGCGTGGCCGCACGGTGCCCGTCCCAGGGGCGGGGGCGGGGGCCGGGGCTCCCGTGGGCACCATGGCCGGAGGGCAGGTGCCCTGTAAATGGGAGGCCCCGTGGGGAAGTCCCTGGGGGCAGGGCCGGCCTGGGGGGGCGGGGGGCAGGGGAGAGGAGACGGCGCGGCGGTGACCCCGCCGCGGAAGGGTGACCCGCGGGGCGTCTGCTGAGTTTCCAGATCACGAACAGCATCGACCCCGTGGGGCGGATCCAGATGCGCACCCGGAGGACGCTGCGGGGCCACTTGGCCAAGATCTACGCCATGCACTGGGGCACGGACTCCAGGTGCGTGCTGGGCCCGGGGGCGCTGGGGCGGCGGGGTCCCGGCTCCCGGGGGGCCCCTCCCGAGTGAGGGCGTCCACCGGGGTCTGTAGGGAATGGCGAGGGCGCTGGCCGGGCGCCAGGCAGGCCGGGCGTGGGCCGCAGGTGCTCGCTCCCCGCCTGTGTCGTCTCCACCGCCCGGCCCCTTCCGGCTCCACCCTCAGCGGTCCCCGTCCCCGCTGCCCACCCGCCCCCCCCCCCCCCCCGCTCTTCTCTCCTCCCAGCGCCTGGCCCGGCGCCCGTGTGGGCCGCGTGCAGCCAGCCTTCCCGCGGTGCTGGGCGTGTGGCGTGGGCTCCTCTCGCGGGTGAGGCCGCTGCTCCCTCGGGGTCCGTGCAGCCCTGGTGCAGACCCTGCTGCGGCTGCACTGCTCGGGCTGCGACCCGGAAGAGCACAGAAGGCCATCGCCCTGGCCGGTCGCCCCACCGTGCAGGCCCTGCCGCGCGCCATGTGAGATGCGCACTTCCGTGCCGGAGCCCCCGAGGGCGTCTGTCGGACACGGCCTCCGGTGCAGTGCGCACAGAGCGTGGGCGTGCGCTGTGTGCGCTGCAGTGACCTGCGGGAGCGCTGGTGTCCTGGCGGGTGTCGGTGGCCAGGCCGTGCCCCCAGCGGGTCCTTGGTCCGGTGCTTGAGGCCGTGTGTCCCCGAGCCCCGCAGGGTGACGGACTGCAGGCTGGGCCCCGGCAGCTGTGTTCCCGGCGGGAAGGCGGGGGTGGCCCGAGCAGCGGGCGTGCGCGGGGGCTCAGGTGGGGCGGGGGCGGTGGGGGGGGCCAACCGGCCGGGCCCCCCATCCCCTCGTGCGAGGCCTCACCACCGCCCGCGGGCTCGGGCGCGTTTGTGCCGTGACAGCCGGGAGCGGAGGGAGCGCACGGCACCCCTGGTGAGGTTCGTCCGGAGCAGGGCCCGTGGAACGGTGGGCGTCTGTGCTCCGTGGCTCTCGCAGCCGCAGAGGGACCCTGGGAAGGGCCCGTGGGTGCTCCCGTGTCGGTGGGTGCTGCTCCGCAGTCACCACGTGGTCACCAGCGTAGCGGGGTCGTCTGTACTTGAGTTCTGCTTTTCATAACGTCTCGGAGTCTCTCAGTGCCCTGATGCTGTTAGACTCTTTCTCCACTTTCCAAAGTCGGGTGCAGTCCTGCTGGGACGGGGAGCGAGCCCCACCAGCCCCCCAGGGCTCAGGAGCCACCGTCCTCCCAGTGGGAAGCGCCTGAGTCCTGGGGGGCGGCCCCCACCCTCCGGCCTCTGTGCAGTGTCTGGGCCCCTCCTTCCGGGCCCTGGGCCTCTGTGCTGGGGTGGGCGGTGCCTCCAGTGCCTGTCCGAGGCTTGGCGGAAGGTTCTGCAGGCCCCTGGAGCCCCGTCTCCAGTGGCCGTCCCCAGGATTACGAGGCGTGAATCTCCTCTCATCTCCTGGGGATCAGCGGGCATTAGTGTCCTTCTGACCCCTGTCCGTCAGCAGGTTCTAAGCTCTCGGGGGTGGAGGGGGGCCCTTCCCGGAGGTGACCTTGACGGAGGGCACGCCTGGGCCACAGAGGCAGGCGGCAGCAGGGGCCCCTGCCCCGTCCCCAGCGGTCGTCAGGGGCCGGTGGGGTGAGGCCGCACTGCGAGGGTGCGGGGGTTCGCTGGGGGGAAGCGCGTCTGAAGACGGTGGCACTCGGGCCGGCGCCGCGGCGAGTCTGGTCAGCGGCTCCGGAAGTCCCTCCCGCTGGCCGAGCCGTCGCGGACTCCGGTCGGGGGTGTGTGCTCACGGGGACTGTGCAGCCTGTCGCGCTGGCTTCAGTCTCACCTCCGGGTCTCAGGTCAAGAAGACAAGGGTGCTTGTGGCTGAAATGGCGAAAACCTGCATGTTTTGGTAAAATCCTTAAAATTAGAACCCTGTCACCGTCCACCGTGCTGACGCACATCTGCCCAGGACGGCGCGTGCAGCCCGCCGCCGTCCCGCACGCAGCTCCCCGTGGCCGAGGGCCCCTCGCCGGCTGGCCCTGGCGTGGAGGACCCTCGCCGCCATCCCGTGGTCGGCCATCGCCCGCCGGCGGGCGGGCGGGGTGGCCTGCTTCGAGTCTCGGGGGCCCCACGTTCCGTGTGCACAGGGACGTGCCTCCGCGTGTGGGACGCCGGGGCTCGTCGGGCGCCCGTGTGCCGGCTCTGCGTGCCGGAGCGGAGCGGGGCATGCGCACCGCGTGTCCGTGCCTCCCGGTCGGCTCTGTCTGAGCCGCACGCGATGCCCCTCGGCGGCCCCGTCTGCCGGGACGCGGAGCTCGCCTGGGCCCGGGCCGTGCTCCGTGGGAACGCCGTCCTCCGTGGGAACGCCTTCGGGGCTGGCCTGGTGACGAGGACGCGCTCTTCCGCTCGTACACGCGCGCGTGCTGGGCCCCGGGGCCCCGACGCTGGGTCGGGGCCGCTGACAGGCCGCCTTGTCTCCCGCAGGCTCCTGGTGAGTGCCTCCCAGGACGGGAAGCTCATCATCTGGGACAGCTACACCACCAACAAGGTAGGCGCCGCCCGGGACCCACCCCCGCGGGCCTCGCCGGGGACTCAGAACTCGGGGCGGGCCCGGGGGGCACTCGGGCTGGTCCTGGTGTCGCCTCGCAGGGGGCGGGCAGTGACTCCCCCGTGTCCAGGGGACCCGGGCTCCAGTGTCAGCCCTGCCTGGGGAGCCTCGCCTCCCGGGTAAGAGCGTGGGGGTGGGGCTGCCGGTCCCCGCGCCCAGGGCCCGAGCCCACGCGCCCGCCTCCCCGCGCCCAGGTGCACGCCATCCCCCTGCGCTCCTCCTGGGTCATGACCTGCGCCTACGCCCCCTCCGGGAACTACGTGGCCTGCGGTGGCCTGGACAACATCTGCTCCATCTACAACCTGAAGACCCGCGAGGGCAACGTGCGCGTGAGCCGCGAGCTGGCCGGGCACACAGGTGCGGCCGCGGCCTCGGCGGCAGTGGGGGGGGGGGTGCTGGAGGGGAGACCAGGCTTGCGTGTCTCCGTGGCGCCCCCTGCTGGGGCCCCGATGGCAACGTCCCAGCCGCCCGCCTGTCGGCTGCGGGCCTCTCCCGGCCTCCCCCCGGGCTCAGGGCTGCAGGCGGCTCCTGCCCTGCCGCCCTGTGTCCTCCCAGATCCTGTTTCATTCTCGCGGGAGGGGAGGGGGACAGACACTGAGGTGACAGGGAGACGTCCCTCCTGGGAGGCCGACCGGGGCCGCCTGCTCCTCGGGGTGACGCCCACCCACTGGGCCCCACTGTTCGGGGCCTGCCCCGCCCTCTTTCGGGGTGACTTGGTTTTCAGCACCCCATGTTGCTTTTCTGTGTTTTCCTGGTTACCTGTCGGCGTTGTTCTTCAGTGGTTTATCGAGGGGTCACAGTGCATGTTGGTCACGGGTCACGGGCCCCTCGGGGTCGCTGCTGCGTCGGCGTGTGTGACACGCAGGCCCCTTTCTGCTCTTCACGAGGCTTCCATGCCCGTCACAGCTGCGCGTGAATTAATCCCCGCCCCCCCCACACACACAGTCACACTCGCGTCCTGCTCACCATCCCCCGTGGGCCCCGGGCTCCCGGCCCCCCCCCCCACACACACACACATTGCACTGGGGAGGGTGCCGGCAGGCTGTCTGAGTCAGACGCTGTGTTTTCAACTCTGAAGTTCCTGTTCGATGCTCTGAGCAGTAGGTGCTGGTTTCCTGGGTTTCCCCACTGGTGGTTTCCCCACTGGTGGCTCACCAGGAGCACGCGTGGGGCCCTGGGGTCCCGCCTGCAGTCCCAGCCCCTCGTCCCCTGGGGCTGGTCGCGGTGGCTCTTCTCTCGGGAACGTGGGTGACGTCGGCCCCTGCCTCCGTCCCTCTCGGGCCCGGGTCTGTGCCCTGCTCTTCCTCCCTGCACGGAGGGCGGGGGCTCCCCTGAGACCGTCGGCTCCAGCTGCCCGTTCTGCCCCCGGGCTTCTGCTCGCAAGGCCACGTTACCACGGGGCTGGCCGGTTCCACTCGTCTGGGCCTGTTTTTCAGGTTACTTGTCCTGCTGCCGCTTCCTGGATGACAATCAGATAGTCACCAGCTCTGGAGACACCACCTGGTGAGTCCCCGAGGCCTGCGCATTGGCGCTGGGAAACGGCTCCAGGACTGCAGGCCGGGGGGGGCGGTGGGAGCTGCTGGGGGCGACTGTGGGTGCTGACCCCGAGGGCGAGTCAGCCCCGTGAGCGGTGCCGCCTCGAGTGGGTGCTGGGCAGGGCCCCGGAGTTGCCCCCAGTGGCTCCCGGCGGGTGACCCCGAGTCCCTGAACACTGGTAGCTCTGCCTCCCTCGCAGGAGGGAGGCCTCGGCAGCCAGCTCAAGGGTGTTTGTGTACTGGCACCGAGCCGTACAGTTGAAATGGTCAGATAGTATTTTATGTCGTTTTAGGCTTCCTCCGTGCCTGTGGGGGTCCCTGCCCTTTGAGGCACGGACCCCGGTCCCTCGGGGAGCAGGACCGCCCTGTGCCAGCCCCATCCTCTGCCCACTCGTCCTTTCACAGGGTTTTTTTTCCTCCAATGTTTGCCATAGGCCCACAAAAGATGTATAATACAAACGTTTCATTTGGGGGTGCGACATGCGAAGTTCTGTCTGCTTCCCGTGCCCCTGCCGCCTGCGGGCAGAGGCTCTGGGCCGCAGGGCCCTGGCCGGGCGGGGCTGCCGGCGTCCCGCCCCCGACACCCCCGCAAGTGGCGGTCCTCCGCTGTCTGCGGCGTTGCTCCGAGCCATCGGTGTACCTGTCAGCGCCCCCTCCCCGAGGCCTGCAGGACCACAAGGTCACAGAGCTGGCAGATCCGACCTACAGGTCCCCTGCCCCGTCCCGTGGCCCCTGCACCCACTCGCAGCCCCAGTGTACGGCAGAGCCTCCGGTGTCCCTGCTTCAAAGGGACACAGGCGTCCTCTCTGTTGACTCTGGGCTGGCGTGGAGCCCAGTGTGTACGCCTGCGGCAGAACCGCCGGCGGGGGCAGGTCTGTCTGCAGTCCCACGCGGGCTCGCTCTGGCCCCGGGCGGCCTGAAGGACACTTGGTCGCCGGCTTCCGAGAGGCTGGGGTGACTCTGCCTGTCCTGCCTCCCGCCCCAGTGCTCTGTGGGACATCGAGACGGGCCAGCAGACCACCACGTTCACGGGGCACACCGGGGACGTCATGAGCCTGTCCCTCGCTCCCGACACCCGACTGTTCGTCTCCGGCGCCTGCGACGCCTCGGCCAAGCTGTGGGACGTGCGGGAAGGCATGTGCCGGCAGACCTTCACCGGCCACGAGTCCGACATCAACGCCATCTGCGTGAGTCGGGCCCTGGGGCGCGTGCTCTCGGTTGTCGCCGACACCGCGGCCTGGCTCACCACGCGGGCCGCCCCCCCCACCCCCCCCCGGAAGGGCACCGGGCGCGCTCCCCTGGGTGGGGAGCAGATAGCGGGGCGACTCCCACACTGCAGCCAGGGGCCCCCTCCCCCTCGGGGCCTGGACTCCAGGGGGGCCGTGCAGACGTGTCTGGTGGGTCCGGGGCCCCTTCCCGGCCTTCTCCGCGGGCCAGCCCGATGGCCGGCACCCACACTGTCCCCTCGGGGAAAATGCACGAGACGGAACCTGCCCCGCGGGTCCCCAGCTCCTGCCAGAGGCCGGCCCTCGCACGCCCCCGTCCCGGGCTGCCCGCGGGCCTGCTCCTGGGCAGGCGGCAGTCCCCACACTCACCGTGCGCACCCTCCCCGTCGGCCCCCAGTTCTTCCCCAACGGCAACGCCTTCGCCACCGGCTCCGACGACGCCACCTGCAGGCTGTTCGACCTGCGCGCGGACCAGGAGCTCATGACCTACTCCCACGACAACATCATCTGCGGCATCACCTCCGTCTCCTTCTCCAAGAGCGGGCGCCTGCTCCTGGCTGGCTACGACGACTTCAACTGCAACGTCTGGGACGCGCTCAAGGCCGACCGGGCAGGTGGGTGACTCGGGGCCCGCCCTCCAGACGCACTGGGCCCCTCCCCCGAGCGGAGCAGCTGGGGCGCTCTCGCCTCCTCTGCGCGGGCGTGTGCGGGCGGGGCGCAGACCCCAGGTGGGGGCCCGGGAAGTGGCCCGGGGTCAGCACGTCGGGCTGGGGTGTGGTTGCCACGGGCGTCGCAGCTCCGCCTGTGCAGAGGGTGAGAGCGTCCTGCACGGGATGGGGCCCGGGGGGTGGGGCCGGGGCTCGTGGGCCTCACCTTGGCTGCAGCATCCTGGGGGTTGGCTTCGTGCCCTGCTTGAACCTCCCCTCAGCCCAGCCCCACACCTGCCTGGGGAGCACTCCTGCCCCCGCAGGCTGCGCTCAGTGGGGACGGGATGGTGATCGGGGGGGACGGCAGCTCTCAGAGGTCGACCCCGAGGCCTCTTGCCCGGTGTTGTCGAAGCACTGGCTGCGCGGCTGGCCCTGGCCGGGCCGTTGGACATCGGCCCTCTGTGTCGTGTGGTCCTGGCCCTGCGCCGGGGCCCCGGGGTCACAGTCCTGCGCTGTCCTGGGGTAACTGCCCTGGGGTGCCGGCGGTCTGGCTTTCTTCGTGGCTTTGGTTCCGTCTCTCGCGCGGGTGCTTCCTTCGTGAGTGCTCCGCAGTCGGGGCAGGGTCCTGGGTCGTGCCTGTGTCTGCTCCCGGCCCCGCGCCGCATCTGCGACAGGCTGTGGCTGGCCTGCCGCGTGGCTGTGTTCGGGTCAGGCGTGGCTCGGCTCCCGTTGGGAGAGGAGGGCGGACCCTCGCTCACCATGTGATCCCCGCCCCCCCCCCACTGTCCTTTCTCTGAGCCCCTGAGGTGCTGCAGGGCTGGCCCTCGTGCGAGAGGCTGTGTCTGCACCTGCGGGCCCTGCAGTGACTGTGCTCTCACCTGCCCCCAGGTGTCTTGGCCGGGCACGACAACCGCGTCAGCTGCCTGGGGGTGACCGACGACGGGATGGCCGTGGCGACGGGGTCCTGGGACAGCTTCCTCAAGATCTGGAACTAACCCACAGGTGACGGAGCGGCCCGGCCCCGGCCGTGTGGGCACTGCGGGCACTGCTTCCTGGGCTCTGGGGGTGCGGGGGGGCGGAGCTCACGGGCGGGTCCACTAGCCCCCCCCCCCCCAGCTCAGCAGCGTGCCCCTGGCTGTGCCCCCGAGTTGAGATGCGCTGTTTTTGTTTTTACACTTTAAAGACAACATCAGTTGTTGCGGTGACAGTGGTTGATAAATCACAGCGGTGTCGGGTTGGATTCTGTGACCCGTCACCCCCCCCCGCCCTCTCCTGTCCCCTCTGGCCCCTCCCCTCTGGTGACCCCCACGCTGCTGTCTGTGCCCGAGAGGCTCTTCTCCGCTCGGTCCCTTCACCGCCCCCGGCCCCCTGGTGGCTGCTCTCCGTGTCTGTGGGTCCCTTGCTGGTCCGCCAGCTTGTTTCTGCACTAGACTCCATAGGGGAGGGAGACCCCACCGCGGCCCCCGTGACGGGCCCTGCGCTCACCCGGCCCCTCTGTTTGGAACAGCAGGTGCACGCGCCGCGGCCGGAGGCCATCCCGCCCCAGGCGTTTCCGTGATCGCATTTCCAACCCCTACTAACGAACGTGGGCGCCCTCCCCTCCGAACTTCAAAAGGGCAAGACCTCCCCCCACTCACTGCTGAAACCAAGAGCACAATCCCACGAAGAAAGAGTCTGTGTCTGCTCGACGCGCCTGCACTCCTCCCGGGACCACTGTCTGCGTCTGCTCCGTCCGAGGGGGCTCCGGGGACGCCCGGCGGAGACGCCGCCAGAGCGCGGGCGCGTGTGCTTGCGGGGCCGGCGCCCCCGGCGCGCGCCCGCGGGGGGTTCCGGTCGGTCCCGCCCCTGATGCCCCCTCAGAGCCAGTCGAGGACGCCGGCCGGCAGCCGGCTCTAAATTCCAGGTTGCGTTCGTGACGGATTTGGAAACCACACTTTCTTTCCAAAACACCTGTGTGTCCCCTAGCTAGCCAGAGCGGGGGTCCCGTGCGGTCTCCCCGACATGGTCACCCGCGTCCACGCAGCCCCCGGTCGTCCGTCTGTCTGGTGTCGTGTGAGCGTGGCGCGCAGACCGGCGCGGGGGCTGCGCGGGCCGAGGGGGGGTCCCGGGTGCGGGCGGCCAGCAGCGTCCCCGGGACCCCTCCCCTCGGCCCGCCCTCCCCGCCTGCTCCGTGGGGTTCCTGCTCTCACCGGTCTCCCTGTGGAGTGGGGGAGTCGGTGACAGCAGCCAGCGCTAGCCCACGCCCACCCCGCCGCCAGGGCCTCCTGTCCGGGGAGGGCCCGTCCTGTGCTTGGGTAGTGAGTCCGTTACTTGTGTATGAAACAATGTACAAATCCATGTTTTGAAAATAATGATCTCAAACTTTCTAAGTTAAATTTTAAAAAATTTGATCGTTTGCCACATGGGGTGGGTTAACTCTTAGACTCGCATGCTGTAGAAACGCTCACATGTGCATAGAGGACTTGGTCCTTAGATGTTCCTTTCTTTCCAGAAGTAATCTCTTTCCAGTTGCAGCCACTGCGGCTCTGTCCACTACCGCCGCTGCTCCGCACGCACGGAAGCAGTACAGTGCGCGGCTCGACACGCTTGAGTAGCAGGATGAGTCACTGTCGTCTTTCTCTCTTGATACAAACGAGTCCCGTCCCAAATGATCGCGGTTGGATTCTGGGGGGGGCAGGGGCAGGGACCGGAAACCCCGGCCTTCCTCTGTCCACTCCTCGCGGCCCATCTCCCGAGAAACCAGCCTTTTGCACCCGAGGCCCCACTTTTCTAGTCCGCAGCCCCCCCCCGCCGGTTTCCTCCAAGCCGCGTCTGCAGCGGCGTGTGGACGGGCTGCTGGCCGTCCCCGAGCTCTCCCGGGCCGGCGCGGAGCCTCCTGGGCGGGCTGCCAGGCCTGGCCTGGCAGGGCGGGCGGGAGCCCCTCCGTCCACACCCTGTAGAGCTGTCTGCACCTGCCCTGCCCTTTTGTATTTAATTTTCAGTCACTGTACTGCGAGGGAGCTGGAACAAGGTAGACCCTGTATTAAGCTGTACTGTTATTTAAGATGTAATAAAGCAGTTTGACACGAGGGACTCGGGTGTGGCTGCTCCTTTGCGGGCGGGGGGGGGGGCGGCGGCCACCGTCCCTGCGCAGTCGGGTCTGACCAGCACCCCGGTGGCCCGCCCTCCTGCCAGCTCTTCCGTCCCCTTCACAGAGGGGGCACGGAAGGTGATGGGGCATTCCGAAAGCACGGCCCCAGCAGCCCGTCCGTCCTGTCCCAGCTGGCAGCCCTTCCTCCTGTCCACCCCCAAGGCCTCCCGGAACAGGCCACCCTCTGACTGCACCCCCCATCTGTCTGAACAGGAACTGCGTGCTCAAGGAAAAGGGGGAACTGCCCGAAAAGTCACAGTCTTTGGGGGCCAGTTTGAGACCAGGAGGGCACCCCCTGTGCCCCCCCCCCATCACAGGCGTGGCGAGGTGCCTGTGACTCTCAGGGTGGGTGCTGGCACCTCCTCCTGAGCTGAGGCGTGCTTGGCAGGGGAGGCCCAGGGGTGGGGGCGCCGCCCTCCACTCTGGACTGCAGCCGTGGCTGGACCTGAGCCAGGCATGGCTTCCCTTTGTCCCCAGCTCCAAGCTGTGCCTGGCACTTGGCCCTGGGCTCATCGGTCCCTCGTCCCGCCTTCATGGGGCCTGGCTGACAACTGCACAGCCCTGGCCGGGTGGTGCAGTGGTCAGAGCATCGTCCCCAAACACGGGGTGGGGGCTGTCCCCCTTCAGGGCATACTCCCGCCAGCCCCAGCCGACAACGGCATCTGTGAGGGGCGCGGCAAGGCAATGCCCCCCCCAACCCCAGCTCCGTTCTCCAATCAGGGAACTAAAAACAACAAAACTGCAGACGGCAGCAGCACCTCGTGAGAACTCGGGGGGCACACCGCACTTGGGGTGCTGGAGTGGGCAGCCCTCGGCCTCAGGGCCCCGCGGAGGCTGTGCTGTGGTTGCCTCACCCGGGGCCCTCGGGGACTCCGGGCCAAAGTGCGTGCCTCCTCGCACCCCCACGGGAACGGACACACGGCCCGGCCGAAGGTGTTGCTCCTGGCCACGCTGTGTGCCTGGCGCTCAGCTGGTCTGCAGGGAAAGGTGTGGCCCCGCACCAGCCCCACAGGTGACGGGCCAGCACACTACCCTAGACCTTCTCCCTGGGGGAGGGCCAGGTCCAGCCAGGCAGGTGGGGCTGGACTGCTCCCGACGGCTGGCTGGACGCCAGAACCTGGGGGTAAACAGGCTGACCTGTGGGTAACCTGAGACACACCTCTTCCCCGGAACCTCTGTCCCTCCCTGCCCCTCAGGCTGCTGCTGGTTCCCCTTTTGGGGGTTAGGGCAGCCTCTGTTTACTCCTGGCACTCCAGCCAGATGCAGCTGCAGCCACCCTCCCCAGGGTTGGGAGCAGGACCCCAGAGGGGGGCACCCCTTCCACTCTCCATCTGAGGGCCCGGGGCGCCCCTGCTTGCACCCTGGAGGCAGGGGGCTCCCCAGACTGCACCCAAACCCAGGGTGCCCCCCAGCCTGTTCCACACCTCCAGGGTGCAGGCTCCCTGCTTCCCCCACCGGTCCCCCACCCCCACTCTGCTGTCCACCATTCAGCCTTCCGAAGAGGGCGGGTCCCAGGTTTGTTGGCGTGCCGCTTGACCAACGTGGAGCCATGTCTAAGGAAAACACCAAAGTAGGGTGACGTAGAGCGCTGGCCACAGGGGAGGCCACTGCTGGGCCTGAGGGGAGGACAGCCGGCCTTCCCAGATCCCTGTGCCTGGAGGCAGGGCCCCGCCCCGCCCCAACTGGCCCGATGAGTGTCCCTCCCGTCCCTTCCCGGCCTGTGCGCTGCCAGCCTCCCTCTCCACGCCGAGGCCTGACTCAGCCTTTGGAGTCCGACGAGGAACACCCTCCAGGAGCCTCCCAGCTGCCCCCAGGCGCAACCCCCACCCCCCACATGGGCCTGGCTACCGAGCTACTGCTGCTCAGCCCTTTGGGGCTGTGTGTGAGCCCCGGACTCTGAGTCCCCAAGGCTGCCCTGGGGCCGGAAGGGGGTCTGGTCACGCAGTTGTCCCATCCTTGAAAGGAGGTGCTCCTGCCAGCCTCTCCGGTCCATGGTGGACAGAGGGCTGCCATGGTCACACACACACACAGTTGTTCCCTTCAGAGAGCAGGTACCCAGCAAGGGTGCCTGCTCCGTCCTTGGCCAGTGACACTGCCCAGGCTCGTGCCTTGGTGCCTTCTCTGCAGACCGTCCAGCCCTAGAAGCTCCTTGGGAGGCCAGGCCCAGTGTCAGGTCACGGCAGTGCCAGGTCGGGCACTGGCATTGTTTTGGTGGTGGGATGTAACCAGAAGCGCAACTCCGGAGGCGTCTCCTCCTGTGGGTGTGGCTGAGGAGTGGCTGGCCGTCGCTTTGGGGAAGAGAAGTTGGCTTTACAAAACAGCACATGGGGAAGTCACGGAGCTTGAGAAATCCCCGCAGAGTCCCCTGTCTGGCTCGACTCCCTTCCCTCTCACTCACTCACTCACTCTGGGGACTCTCACTGCCCCGTGGTCCCAGGACAGCAGCGAGACCTGCCCTTCCCTGTGACCAGCAGTGTTCCAGGTCAGTGGGCAGCGGGCCGCGAATCCCAGCCAGAGAAGACTAGCGCCCACTGGGGGCGGAGGGGTGGGGATGCTGGGCCAACTGGGGGCCGAGTTGCCGCGGAGGGGTGGGGCAGGGGGCTGTCTCCGGGGAGACCCGGTGTGGACAAGGAATGCTGGCTGGCACAGGTGTGTGTTGGGGGAGCCAGGCAGGTTACGAAACACCCCGCAGCGCACTGTCGGGGCCGTGTCCTGCGGTGCCCCTGCAGCAGCTTCTTCGGCGTGTCCCCAGCACACTGCTGGGACCCGACGCCAGGCTGCGCTGGCGGGGAAACCCTCAACCGGGGTGGCGGCCGGGGTGGCGGGGCGCGGGGTGGGTGGGGGAGCCTTGGGGGAAGCGCCCCGGCCCCTGGGAGGCGGCAGCTCCAACAGAAGCTGCAAGGCGTGCACTGAGGCCTTGGCCCCGTCCCCTCCTCCGGGCGCTCCACTCCGGGGGTGGGGGAACAGCGCCGGCGGGCCACCCTCCAGGGGCTCCACCCAGACCGCAGGCCCAGAGCCACTGAGGCCCGGCAGTGTGAACGGACCGGCCTGGCCGCTGGAGGTGGGCGGGGTCCGCTCCCTCCAGCTGCGCCGCCAGCGCAGGGGCGCGGGTCCGCCGCCGGTGTTCACACCGAGTCTGGGTTCCCGAAACAGGTTCCTTCGAAGCAGAGTCGTCACGGAATCTTCGGCGGGTGGGGCCCCCACTGGCGGGGACGGCGGCGAGCCGGCCTAGGCTTCGCGGGAGGGGAGCGGGGCGGGTCAGGGGTCAGGGTCAGGGTCAGGGTCAGGGTGAGGGGGAGCGGGCGGCCACTCGTGCTCCCGACGCGGCGGGGTGAGCCGGACCACGACTCGTCCTCGGAGGCAGCCGGGGCCTCGCCACTCGCCCTGGGACCGCCTCCCGCACCCCGCGCCCCGCGCCGGCGTCTGGGGGCGGGGCGCGTGCGCGGGGCGGGGCGCGCGTGCGCACTGGCGGCGCGGCGGCAGGGCTGCGAGGCGGGCCGGCGCCGCGGTCCGGGCGGCCATGGGGCGGGGGGCGGCCGCGGCGCCGGGGGGCGGCTAGTGAGGACGAGCAGCGGCGAGGCGGCGGAGTCCGGGGACTGGGCCCGGCAAGCGGGCGGCCCCGCAGGCGCCCGCAGCAGCGAACGGTGAGTGCGCGCCGCCCCTCGGCCCTGCCGGCCGCCTGCGGTCGCGGGGTCGGGGCCCGGGGGTGTGGACGCCGGGAGGCGCTGGCCGCTGGCCGCTGCCCCAGTCCCGGGGAAGGGGCGTCTGCCGGCCGTGGGCCGGGCTTGAGGGGACGACGCCCACCCGGCCCGGGCCCCCGGGACGCTGCCGGGCGGCCTCGCGGAGCGCGCAGGGCGCGGCGCTCTCCGCCGGGGCCCTGGAGCTCGGCGTTCATCCCGGAGGCCCCGCCGGCGGCCTAGGTCCGGAGTAACCTGCTCCCGTTGCCGCGGCCCTGGGCCCGCTCCGCGTGACCCGCAGCCTCGCGCGTGGCCCAGGAGTCGCCCAGGCCGCGCCCTCGGGCGGGATAAGCGAGGTGCTGTCCCGGCGCACCGCAGGTCGCCCTTCGGCGGCTCCTTCCACGCGTCCTGCCCCCACCCAGGCCGCGCTGCCCTCTGTCCCCGGCGCGGCGCCCACACCTTGCCCCGCCGTCACCTTTGCTCCAGCCACCGAGGGGCGGAGCGAGTGCGCACCGGGCTGTCTCCGGAGGCGGGCTCTGGAGGTGGTTCTAGGTTTTCTTCTTTGAACTTGAGGTCGGGTTGTGTTACCAGCCGGAAACCGCGTGCAACTTACACACGGTGACAAGGGTCCCTTAGCTGCCCAAGCAGCATTCTTGGGGAGCGGAGGTGGCTGCCCTGTGGGAGGGGACCAGTGCCGCTGATAGTGAGTAAAGCGGGCAAGAGTCGACTTCACCGGCGAGATGTTTGAGAAAAGGTAGGTGCCTCCAGCAGGTTGAAGAGGTGGGGGCGCGGGGGGGAGTGTTTTGTCCGAGTCGATGGCCTTTGTCTTTATTACCTGAAATAGCAGCTTCCGTATAGCTGGAGTGTCCCGAGCAGTTAGAGGGACCCCCGGAGCGCGCCCTGGGGGGCGGGGGTCTCCGGGCCTGTGGACGGGCCTGGGGGCAGCTGCTGCTGCTGCCTCTCCCTTTGTGCCGGCCCTGACCCGCCTGGCCCTCCTCCCAGTGCCCTGCGTGGGCCCCTCCCCACAGCCCCCGCCAGGCCTGGATCCGGGAGCGCCCAGCCTCCCCACGTCCTTGCCCGGCACCGGCTCCTCCTTGTTTGTCGGGGGAGGAGAGGAGGCGAGTAAACGGGCCTTTTCCCCTGCTCGGCCCGACTGGTGGGATTGAACCGCTTCCCGCTGGCGTCGAGAAGTGGAGGCCCCTTTTTGTCAGCGGCGCGTGGTCAAAGCTCGCACCGGATTGTCGCGATCTAGGGGTGCGTGTGGCGCTTGCAGACCTCTCCTGCATTGGCCTCCTGGGGCTCCTCGCCCGGCGGAGCCTGTTACTGGGCCCCAGTCGCCCCTGTCTCGACTCCCCCGCAGAGGCTGTGGGTGGAAATCAGGGCCGGGAGTGAACTTGGGCCGAGTTCGAATGTCGTCTTTTCAGGACACACCAAACAGACTTGAGTGAAATGTGAGTGCCGACTCACCATTGTCAGAAACGTGCTTTGGAGATAAATTTTAAAGCTGGTTTTCATGTTTAATGTGACTTTTTCTTGAGTTAGTTTACCGTCTGGTCGTCAGGTTAGTCTTTGCAGGGAAATGCGTCGACCTCCAGGTCGTGTGTGGTGGGGGGTTTTCAAGTGCATTTGTGTTTTCTTGTTTTCGTTGGTTTACCTCGTTTTTAAGATTATCTGCTGCTTTTTTCCTCCGAGAGAGGCGGAGGGAGGGAGGAGTGGGGGAGAGAGACGGGTTGGCAGCCTCTCGTCTTCCCCCGCCAGGGACCTGGCCCTGACCTACCTGGCGAGGGGCCCGCGCCTGCGCGCCCCGCCGGGCTGGTCCTGAGAGGTCCCTCGGCGGCACCGGGGCCCCTGGGGCAGTCGGGACACGGTTCAGACCGACCCTGCGCCCCCCCGGGTGCCGGCATCGCTCACACGTGGGAGCAGCGGGAAGGCGCCGTGGAGAAGGGCGGGCGCCGTGGCATAGGCTCTCCGGGCCCCGCCCGTGTCGCCTGCAGGTGACTGCGGGGTTCCCCGAGTCTGCCTCTGAGTGACTGTCCCCACGGCAGGCAGCCCGCCCAGCCCTGGGCCCCTCCCCCGGCCATCGGTCGTCCCAGGGACCCTTCGCGACAGGCCTTTCCCTCAGCAGGACCCCTCCGAGGGCCACCGAGCCGTGGCCGGTCCCAGCGGACCGTCCCTCTGTGGTGCCCAGCCCTCCCCCCGCCCCGCCGGCCCACCCTCGGTAAGCTGCCGTGAGCTCCCCCGTGCGGGTTCCTGGGTGGGCGCGAGGTTTTCTCTGGGCCGGGGGCCGGGTGGAGTGTTCAGGGTCTGAGCGGAGCTGCCGGCCGGCCCCCTCCCAGGGGGACTGTCCTCTCTGGTTCCCGCCCTCGTGCGGGTCCGGTCTCCGAGACCCCCGCTCTTTGTCTTCTCGGTGGGCCTGGGGGGTGTCCGGTGATGTCCCCTCTCGGTGTCCACTGGCACTTCCCGGTGGCCGGCGCCCTTGCTCAGGCCTGTGCGCCGTCCCCTCCGCCGCCCCCCTCCCCGCCCGCGTCCCGGCAGGCTCTGTGCCTGTGCTCCGACACCGGTGCCCTCCGGCCATGAGTCTGCGGTGGCCGCAGGCGCCTGTGGGCGCTTCCCAGCCCGCAGCCCCTTTTCTGGTCTCCCGGGGCAGGGTCCCCGCGGGGCTGGGCTCCTACGGCTCTTTCCCTTGTGTGGGCTGTGCTCTTGGCGTCCCGTGGAAACAGTTCCCCTGGCCCTGGGTCCCAGAAGTGTCTCCTGTGCTTCCTAACGCAGGTTCTGTGCTTTGTGGGTTACACGAGACACAGTCGATTTTGATCCCTTTTGAGTTGGTTTTTGTTCAGGGTGTGGAGTTTGTGGGGGCGGGCAGGGCTTGGTTTCTTTGCCTGTGGACGACGAAGGGCTCCCGGGCCGCTTGGGAAGGCCCGCCCGCCCTTCCTCAGTGCGTCCCCGGGGCCCTCGGCCCAGGCCGGCTCGGCCGCTGTGTGGCCCTGCCTTGCCTGGGGCTCTCCCTGCCCTGCGGCCACCACAGGGCGGGGGCCGGTCGCGAAGCCAGAGCCGACCTCTCCCTGCTCGTCTTTTCCTGGTGCCGCCAGCCCTGCGGCCTCCACCCCCGCCCCCCCCCCCCAGCAGATCTGGAAGGAGCCTGCTGGTCCCTGCTGGACGGGCGCCTCCGGCCCCCGCAGATGCCGCTCTGGGGGAGAGCGTCTCTAGTCCCCCCCCCCCGTCGGTGTTCGGTTCTCCCCGGCACAGGAGCCCTCTGTCGGGGTGCCCGGCCTGCGGCCCTCGGGCCCTGACGCGGCCCAGCACCCAAAGTTGTGCGTTTGCTGAAGACATCCCAAGATTTCCTTGTGATTACGTGTCCCGTGCGTTGGACGCGTGTGGCGCCCCCGTGTGGCACCACGCTGGCATCGCGGGGGTCCAGGCGACGGTGAGCGCTGGTTTTGCCCCGGTTTTGCCCCGGTCCCTGTCTGCTGGGCCTGGGCCTGAGCCCGGCCGCGGCCTTCAGCCCTCTGCCCTCTGCCCTCTGCCCTCTGCCCCGCCAGGCGGCGAGCATGTGCCCGGCCTTGCCCCCAGGCTGGGGGGGGTGTTCGTTTTTCCACCCCGGAGCAGGACGTCGTTGTGGGCCGTGGTGGACGTCCTTCATGGAGCCCAGGGGCTCCCCTCGGCCCCGGGGTGCTGGGGTTCCGTCGCGGAGGGGGGGCCTGTGCCCCAGCTGCTGCAGCTGGGCGTGTGCCGCCCCCCTCCTGCCCTGTCGGCGCGCTGCGTGCGTCCCGGAGACGGAGCCGGCCTCGCCCTCCCGCGGCAGACCCCGCGGGCCATGGGCTGACCCTTCTCCAGCGCCTGCTGTTGGGGTCGAGTCCCCTTTGGAGGCCCGGTGCTGCCCGTGCGGCTGCCCGTGGGGAGGAGCTGAGGCGGCATCATGGCTCGGGCGCTGCCTGTGGGGGCTGCGTCCTGCCCCTTGCCCGGGCGGCGGGGCGCGGCGGGGTGGGGACCGTGGCAGTGCGTGCAGGGGTGGCGGGGGTTGTGGGGGCGGGGCGGGCGTCCCCACGCACTCAGAGGGCCCGGGCACTGCTTTGTGCCGTGCTGGGTCTGTGCAACCGCCTTTTTAAAAAGTATGGTTTTCGTTTTTTAACAAACATTTTGTTTATTTAGTTACTTATTATTTATTTCAGAGAGGGGAAGGGAGGGAGAGGGAGAGAAGTACCCTTGTGTGGTGGTTGCCTCTCGCGCGCCCCCAGCTGGGGACCTGGTCCGCACCCCAGGCGAGCGCCCTGCCCGGGGACGGGGGCCGTGTGCCCGGTGGGGCCGACGCCCACCCCGCCCCTCCGCGCCGCAGGGCCAGGGCCGCGCGGCTTCCCACCTGACGGACGGCTTCCCACCTGACGGACGGACGAACCCGGGGGTCGGGCGGGGGAGCGCCCTGCCGCCTGCACCCCCTCAGCCGCGCAGACGGAAACGACATCGGCTGTTCGTCCCTTCCAACGTGCGGCCCGTCACGGCACACGGGACGCGTGAAGGGCCGGGACTGCGCGGCCCTCACCACCGTTTTGAAGGCTGCAGCGTCGTGGGGGGTCTCGTCCGTCACTTTTCTCCTCCGGGTGCAGCGGCCCAACCAGCTCAGCACCCCCATGCCTCCTCAGCGAGACGGTTTCCCGCGTCTGGGGTCCCAGCACCCCCTCCGGCTCAGGCTGGGGGTCGGTGTGGGACCCCTGAGCTCAGGACCACAGGTGCCCCCCAGTGACTGCGGAGCCCCCCCTACCCCACAGAGCCCCCTCCCCCGTCACTCTGTCGGGGGCATCTCCTGCGCCGCTCTCACGTCACTGGGGTTCTCTCAGGCACCCCTGCCTCCCCCCACCCCAAGGTGTCAGCCCCGTGTGGTGGGGGGGGGGCGCCCTGGCTGTGCCCTCCGGCCGAGTCCCGGAAGGGGACGGGCCGTGTTCCCCTCGGCCCCTCTGTTGGGCCTCTCTGCTGCGTTGGGGCCGACGTCTGTCCCCCGTGGCTGTGGGCAGGGGCCTGGGCGTGCCAGCCCGGGGCCGGCTGTGCCCGTCCCAGCTCTGGGGCCCTGGGGAGCGTGCGTCCCGTCCCTGCTCCTCAGGCCCCTCACATGGAGGGGGACACGCAGAGGGACCCCTGCCGCCTGCCCGGGCGCGTCTGCCTGTGGAGTGGAAAGTAAGCTCGCCAGTGGCCTTGGCCCTGCGTCAGCCACGGCTGCTTTTTGTGCGGCCTGTCCCCTGCTTCCCCACGGACCCCGCCCTCCGTCCCGGGGTCTGCAGTGCCTCTCCGCCTGAGCTCGGGGCCGCGGACCGGCTCACGTGTGGGCACGGGGGTGGTCTGACCTGCGCCTTCCTCGGCCCCCCGGGGACAGCCCGGCGGCTCCCCTTCTCCCGGGGGCATTTGTCAGGGACATCTCTTCCCTCTGGTTTTGGAGAGAGGGGCCGCCTCCCTCGGGCGCCTGGCCAGACCCGGGGTCGAGGCTGCAGCCTGGGCGTGGGCCCTGACGGGGAATCCAGCCCAGAACCTTCCGGTTAAGGGGCACTCTCCGGCCCACCGAGCCGCGCCAGCCAGGCTCCTGGCTCTCGTGCACCGCGTGGGACAGGTCGCCCTCACCCGGGTGCCGGCCGCCCGGGGGCGTGGGGAGACGGGTGGGTCAGCTCCGGGGGCAGGGGTGGGGTCGGGCCGTGCGCGGCGCAGGCGACCCCAGCATGTTTGGCTTGAACGGCGTCGCGAGGGAGGGAGCGGACCCACCCGGCGTGTCCACACGGCAGCCAGCACCCGCCCGTGTCTCCAGCGGCTGGTCCCCGTGCCCTTCGGACCCGCGCTCGCGGCCGCTCCCTGGCTGCCCGCCTGTCCCGGCCGGTTCGGCTTCTGGCCCCGCCCTCCAGCTTCCTCCCGGCTCCAGGCCCCGCCCCCCGCCCCGCCCCCGCCGTTCGGCTCCCGAGTGGAGGCAGGCGAGCGCCGGGTTTGGTCTCCGGCCGCCGCCCGGCCCCGGGGAGCCCATGAGGCCTGCCCTTGTGAGGGTCCCCGTGTGCCCCCCCCCCGCCGACCCAGCAGGTTCCTGTGTCCAGACCAGCCTGCGCCCTGGGCGCCAGCCTCGGACGTGGGGCTGCTGAGTTCCTGCGGCCTCCGCGGCGGGGCGGGGTGGAGGACTGAGCCCCACGGGCCGGCAGCAGCACCCCGTGCCGGTGGGGGGGGCGGGGGGCCCGGGGGGGAGGAGCCCTCTGAGCAGAGGCCCGAGTGGGGGCCGCTCCGGTTCGAGGTGGACCCCGGCGGCGTCCTCTAGGCTGAGCTCTGCGGCAGGCACGGCCGCGGGGCCGCGGCTCGGGGGGGCGTGCGTTTCACCTGCAGGAAGCTGCCCAGCTGGCCCCCCGGGGAGGGGTGCGGTGCCCCGCCCCCCCAGCCCCTGCTGCTCTGCCGCGGCTCTGGTCAGACGCCAGGTGCACCTGGTTGTGGTTTCAGCTGCGCGTCCCTCGCGGCCGCTGGCGTGGGCGTCTGCCCGCGCGCTTCTGCGGAGCCGTCGGCACAGCTGCGGTCCGGAGGGCCCGGTTCTCAGTCCGCGTGTCTGTCTGCCGAGTGTCCGCAGGTCTGTGTGTGTTCCGGGGACGCCCCCCGTCTCGTGTGTGTTTGCAAGTGTTTTCTGTGGTTCTGCGGCTTGCACTGACGCTGTTCATCTTACTAACGGTGTCTCGTGGGGGGTGAAAGGTGTTCACTGGAGTGGAGTCGGGTTCTCTCCTGGTTTGTGCTCTGTGTGTCCGGCGCGGCGGATCCGGGCCGCCCGGACCCGTGGGACCGAGTTGGCTGGGCCCCACCCCCCACGAGTCGAGGGGTCGCGGGTGGGATTCCTGGTCGGGGCGCGCGCCTGGGTGCGGGTTTGGTCCAAGAGGCAACCAGTCAATGTTTCTCTCCCTCTCTTCCTCCCTCACTCCCTGTCTCTCAGTAAATACATGAAATTTTTTAAAATAAATACATGGAAAAGTAACAAAAACACTTTGCCAAGGCCACGGAGACTATCTCCTGCGCCGTCTCCTGCGAGTCTTGGAGTTTGACTTGAGCTCACGCCCGCCTGCGGCTCGAGGGCCTCGCTCCGTCCTTCCACACGGGGCTGCCCCGTCCCCTGACCCCTGGGGAAGGGGCGGTCCCCCCCCTCCCCGCCCCAGCCGCAGAGGGGCCGCCCTGCCCTCTGGGCATGTCTGTCTGTCTGCGGCTGCCCGGCTGTGGGGGCCCGGGCCCCAGCCCCTCTCCCTCCCCGCGCTCCGCCGCTGCTGCGGGCCCCTCCGGTCCGCGGGCGTCCTGGAGCCGGCGCGTCCCCCTCGCGGAAGGGCCTGCTGCTGGTCCCTGTGGGGTGCGGCCCCTTGTTGAGTGGGGCGCAGTGGACCCCGAGCACTGTCTCCGTTCCCAGAGTCAGGGCTTTCGGACGGACGGTCGGTGTCTGTCGTGAAGCTGCCCCCGCAGCCAGTGCACTCGGTCTCCTGAGGCCTCAGAGTCGCGGCGGCGTCCTGCCCGGCGTGGCCCTCCCAGTGCTGGGGCCGCTGCCCCGGGCTCCTGTCGGGAGCAGGTCCTGCGCGTTTTCTGTCCTAGAGCGCGGGCCGGGCTGCCCTCCCTCGCTGCCGGTGCGCAGAGCCACCGTGGCTGCCTGGCTCGCACGTGTCTCCTGCGTCCTCGCCTGGTGGGTGTGGGCGCTGCTGTGCGGATGCCCCGTCGTGTGTGCCTGCAGGACGCTGCCCCCTGCGACCCCTCCCTTGGGGAGCTGGAGCCGTCCCCGAGGGCCACCCAGGCCAGGCTGGGGGTGCGGTGTGGCGCTCGCGGGCCCTGCGTGCAGGGCGTGGAGTGGGACGCGCCCCTGTGGCGCTCGCTTCTGCACGGACGTGTCACCTCTGTTCGGCGTTTCTGGACTGGGGGCGTTTAAAACCCGCGCCCGGACCCCCCCCCAGGAGCCGCGCAGCCCCACGTGGCCGGGGAGACGCGCCGCCACCGCCCTGTCGTGGCAGCTCTCCCCTCCCCTTCGACCCTCAGCCCCGCCGGGCGTATGCAGAGCCGCCGTGGGGTTCCCGAGCTCCTGGGCCCCGGGTGGGAACCGCCAGGGCGAGCAGACGCCAGCCCCCCCAGCCCCGCTCCCCGGGACAGACCAGGTGCATCGGCGCGGACGGGCGTGCCGGGGGCCTGGGTGCTCACCACCCCGTGTCGTCCCCGTCCTCCCCCCCCCCGCCCCCCCGCAGGGATCGGTGCTTCTTTCGCCGCAGCCCGCGCTCGCCGACGCCGGAGATGGAGCCGGAGGAGGTCGGCGTGCGGAAGGGGCTGAGCGCGGACGCGTCCTACCGCTGCACTGCCTGCCACGGGGACGAGGATGCTGGGCCGGGCCGCCCCCTGCGCGGCCGGGCCAAGTCCCGCAGCCTGTCTGCCGCGCCGGCCCTCCCCAGCACGAAGGAGTTCAGGTACTCGGGCAGTCGGGACGCCCCACCCCCCAGCCCCCCGCCAGCCCCCAGGCTGGCCCTGCTGCCCGTGCACCGCCCGCCAGGGGCAGTGCTCCGGCCCGAGGGCTGCGGGACATGCCCGGGGCCCCGGCGCGAGCCGCCAGCCCGGGCCTCGCCTCTGGAGCACGGGTCCCGTGAGCAGCGCCAGGGTTTGGGCAACGCGCCCGTTCTGTCTCAGAGGACGGGGACCCGGCGTGCTGGCGGCCGGTTGGAGGTGCCGGCCAGGGCGGAGGGAGGAGGGCACGAAGGAGGGGTCCAGGCCCGTCCCCGGCCCTGGGTCCCTGTTCTGGGGAGTCTGATGCTCCCAGCCTGCGCAGCGTCTGCCGCGGCGTCACCGCCGTTCCCCCCGCCTCCGCAGGAGGACCCGCTCTCTGCACGGGCCGTGCCCAGTGACCACCTTCGGACCAAAGGCTTGCGTGCTGCAGAACCCCCAGACGGTCATGTGAGTGCACTGGGCGGCCCCCAGGAGGGTCCGGTGGGGCCGCCATGCTGCGGAAGGTTCTAGCGCTCACAGTGAGAAGCCGCTGGAACGTGGGTGGGGTGGGCGGGCCATGCCCAGGTACGTGTGTGTGTGTGTGTGTGTGTGTGTGTTTTAGTAAAAACTCTGGGGAGAAAAACGACATATTTCATACTCGCGCACTTGGTGGGTCTAAGCATTTCTCCTCTAACGATTCTCAGCGCGAGACGCTGGCCCGTCGTAACATCCCAGTTCACTTGTTCGAGGCCGACCCCACCTCACAGCTGCTGCGTCCTCCACACCGGGGCCGGGCCGCGGCGCGGGGGGTGTGGCCAGGCCACCTCTGCACCCTTGGGGGCTGCGTGGTGCCTGAGGAGACGCTGTTTATACCCTGAGCAATTGGGGTGATTTCACTGGGTCCACAAGACCAGCCCCCGAGTCCGGGCTCCCCCCAGCTGCGCGGTGTCTCCTGAGGAAGCTCTAATGTGCTGCTTCTGGCCCCGGTGCTTTATGTTTTGGAAAAGTCGGAACTCCGTCTCAGCTCTGGGGGCTGTGCCTGGCACCTGTGGCACGCTCACCCCCACAGGGTCCCCAACTTCTGGGGCAGCCGTGGCCGCAGGGGCGGGGCCACCAGCCCTTGTGCTTCGGCCGCTGACCCATCTGAGGGTCGCTGCCCCTCAGCCCCAGCCAGCGTGGGGCCCGGCAGCCGCCTGTGCCTCCGCTGCCAGGCTGCCCGCAGACCGCAGGGCCGACTGGCGCAGGCACTGTGTCCCCCTGGGGAGGCCTGGCCTCGGCGGTGAGCTGTGGGTGCGGTCGGCATCAGGTGCCCCACAGACGGGTGTCTGCCCTGGTGGGAACGCCCCTCTCCCGTCGCAGGCACATCCAGGACCCCGCCAGCCAGCGGCTGACGTGGAGCAAGTCCCCGAAGAGCGTCCTCGTCATCAGGAAGATCCGGGACGCCAGCCTGCTGCAGCCCTTCAAGGAGCTCTGCGTGTACCTGATGGAGGTGAGCAGGAGGCGGGGCTGGGGGCAGCCCGAGCCCCGCCTTCTGTGTCCCCCGCCCCCCGCCCCTCGCGCCAGCGGGAGCCCGCCCTGGGTGTGGGGGGGGCGGGTGACAGAGGGGCCTGGGGCCGGCGGGGTCAGGAGGCTCGCTGCACAGTCGCCGGCCGCCAGAGACAGCCGGGCCAGGCCTCGTGCTGGAGCTGACGCGCCCGTCGGTCCCCAGGAGAAGAACATGATTGTGTATGTGGAGAAGAAGGTTCTGGAAGACCCCGCCATCGTGGGTGACGACGGCTTCGGGCCGGTGAAGAAGAAGTTCTGCACCTTCCGAGAAGGTGAGCGCCCGGGGCCTGCACCCGGGGGAGCACCGGGCGCCCCGGCCCCGTGCTGGCGGCCTGACGCGGCTCTCCCTCTGCCCTCTAGACTACGACGACATCTCCAACCAGATCGACTTCATCATCTGCCTGGGTGGGGACGGGACCCTGCTGTACGCCTCCTCGCTCTTCCAGGTGCGGGCTCTCACCAGGCGGCCTCCCTCCCCCCAACGCCATGTCGCCAGTTGCCTGGCGCACTGACTCGGACGCTGTGGTGGGCGGGCAGGTCGGCCGGGTGCCGGGCTGCTCCGCCTGGTGCTGTGAGCAGGGGGCCAGCAGCCGCACGGGCCGGCGCTCCGGGCACGGGCAGGGAGCCCTGGGTGGCACCAGTGGGTGGGAGTCTGCGCTGGGGGCCAGGGGTGGCCCCGAGTGCCGCAGGGCCCCCGCTAGGGGCGTTAGGTGGCCAGGCGTGGCGGCCACGGGAGAGGGCCTGCAGGGCTGTTCCCTCCCCCACTGCTGGCCTCGCTGACCTCAGTGGTCACGCCGGCCCAGCCCCTCGCCCCGGCCGGGCGCTGACCCCGGGGGCCTGTGGCGGGGGACCTGTGGGGGGACTGGCTGCTGAGTCCGCCGCCTTCGGCTCACAGGGCAGCGTGCCTCCGGTCATGGCGTTCCACCTGGGCTCCCTGGGCTTCCTGACCCCTTTCAACTTCGAGAACTTTCAGACCCAAGTCACGCAGGTGATCCAGGGTGAGTCCCCGAGTCCAGGGTGCGCTGGAGCCCACCCGCAGCTCTGAGCCGGGCCTCACCGTCCCCCTGGTTTGTGTGGTCGTCGCCGTGTTTTGCTCAGCCCCTCCCCTCGGCCCCCCAGCCCTCACACCCCCCCACCCCCCGCCCGCCCGAGCTCTGGGGTGTCGGTGACGTGCGGCCCTCGAGCCCCTCCGGACTCGGAGGCCCGAGAGCTCTGACCGGCTCGCACGTGCGTGGGAGCGCCGGGCAGGCCGAAGCGCCGTCCGCGCTGAGCAGCAGGGGGTGGCCGTTCGGGAGAAGGGAGGCGAGGGTTCCTGGCTGGGGCTGTGACCTGCCTGTGCCCCCAGGGAACGCAGCTGTTGTTCTCCGGAGCCGGCTGAAGGTCAAGGTCGTGAAGGAGCTCAGGGGGAAGAAGGTTGCCGCCCCCAACGGGGTCAGTGAGAATGGGGTGCTGGCTTCGGACCGAGACACGGAGGCAGGGAAGCAGGTCCTGCAGTACCAGGTCTGTGGCCACCCCCCTCCGCCGGGCCCCCAGCCTGGCCCTCCCTGGCGATGGCCCCAGGGAGGGGTGCGGGATGTGGGGACTCTGGTTGGACCCCAAGGGAAGCCCCCGACCCCGTCCTCAGGACCTCCCAGGGGCAGCACAGGGGCCTGCGGGGCCAGCCCACCTGGAGGTGCTGCCCGGCCCTCAGCATGCGCCCCCCCCGCCCCCCACTCAGGTACTGAACGAGGTGGTGATCGACAGAGGCCCCTCCTCCTACCTGTCCAACGTGGACGTCTACCTGGACGGGCACCTCATCACCACGGTGCAGGGCGACGGTATGTGTGCGTCCGGGCTGTCCGGGGCGCCCTGGGCACCCGCGGCCGGGGCGGTGCGTGGAGAGTGACCCCGCAGCCTGTCCCTCAGGTGTCATCGTGTCCACCCCGACGGGCAGCACGGCGTACGCGGCGGCGGCCGGAGCCTCCATGATCCACCCCAACGTGCCGGCCATCATGATCACGCCCATCTGCCCCCACTCCCTGTCCTTCCGGCCCATCGTGGTCCCCGCAGGGGTCGAGCTGAAGGTCAGAGCCCACTTCTCCACCTTCTCTGGGGGGACTCCCTGCCTGGGGCCCCGGTGCTGACCGCTGGTTCTGGCCCCCCTGGCGCCGACCCCAGGGCCCCCGGGCTGCGGGCTCCACCTTGCTGAGTGCCGGAGGGGCCTCCCTCCTGTCCTTGGGGCCCCTGCGGCCTCGGGTTGCGGTGCACAGGGGGCCGTGCTGGGCTCTGGGCCAGCCCCTCCGGCTGCGTGCTCTGTCCCCACGAAGCAGCCTGTCCCCGTTGGGTGGGGGCAGGGCGAGCGGTTCGAGGTGGGCATTGGCTCCGGGGGGTGGGGCTGCAGCCAGCCACCCGGCCTTGTCTAGCTGTGCACGCCCCCGTGTGGGGGTGTTTGGAGACCCTGGGCCTGGAGGGACATCTGCCTGCTGTCCTCCAGGGCTGATGTCCGTCAGACACCGTTAATGCCTTCACAGCTGGGAACTGGCCGTGGCCTGGAGTGGGTGCCATGCTTCCCCCGAGCTGGGTCCTCCCTCCGGGGCAGGGCCCGAGGGGCTTGGCGGCACACACGCAGGCCCACGCCTGTCCTGCTTGGCCCCTTCAGATCATGCTGTCACCGGAAGCAAGGAACACCGCCTGGGTGTCCCTGGACGGACGGAAGAGGCAGGAGATCCGCCACGGAGACAGGTGGGCGGGCAGGGGGCCGGAGCAGGGTGTGAGGAGCTGGGTGCGTCCCGGCCTGCTGCCCTCATCGCCACGCCCTGGGGGACGTGGCCCTGCAGGCTCAGCTTGTCACCAGGAGTCCAGAGAGTCCCTGTCTCACGCCGTCCCGTCCGGCGGCCCCTGCCCGCGGGCGCCCCTCGGCAGGCTGCTGTGCGCGGCCCCGTGCTCTGCCGTCCCCGGTGGTGCCGGTCCGCTCCGCGCTGGCTGTGCCTGGCTGCTCTGTCCCCGTGCCCTCCCCACACCCCTGGGGGTCTCCTCACCGTGCGGAGCCGGCTGTGTGGCTCCGCACCGGGATGTGCGGCAGTGCCCCTGGGGCCGCGGCCGGGCTGGGGGGCCGGTCCAAAATGGCTGGCTCCTTGCCGGAGAGGGCGGACGCCGCCCCGGGGAGGGCCCTGGGGAAGGGGGGGCTGGGCGGGCAAGCGCGGGCTCACGGTGCGGCGTTGCGCCCTCTCCAGCCTCAGCATCACTACCTCGTGCTACCCGCTCCCCTCCATCTGCGTCCGGGACCCCGTGAGCGACTGGTTCGAGAGCCTGGCCCAGTGCCTGCACTGGAACGTGCGCAAGCGGCAGGCGCACTTCGCCGCCGAGGAGGAGGCCGAGGAGGAGGGGGAGACGGAGGACTAGCGGCGCCGGCCGCAGTCAGTCACGCGTCCACGTGGGCGCCGGCGGCCCCGTCACTCCTGGCTGTGGCCGGAGGAGGAGCCCAGAATCTGCCTTTTGTCGACCAGATCAGCTGTTTCTACTCTCTCACGTCTGACCTCTTTCTGCATTTCTGAGTAAAAGCCAAGGAAGCGATGAACGAAGCTTGGAGAGCCACGCGGCTCGCCTGTGGGTCCCGTCGCCGGGGATCCGGCACCGGCCAGCGCCCCACAGCTCCCGGCCGGGAGCTCGGTGCATCGGTCTGCTGCGAGGAGAGGGCCCGGAGGGGGCGGCCTGTCCTGGGGTGTGGGAGTGCCTGTCTCACAGCCGAGCCTGCCCTGGGCCACACGCTCACCCCCCCCCCCCCCCGTGCCTCCCCGCCGTCCTCGGGGGAGGCAGCTGGAGAGCCCCTGGGGAGCAGTTGCAGGCAGCTGGGGCCCCTCCCTCCCACGCGGCCCCCAGGCCCTGTCTCCCACCCCGGCTTTGGGGTGACGGGCTCGGCAGAGCGTCGCACCGTGGCCCGGGAGCCTGGGTGAGAGGTCGGCCCACACACATTCCGCGCGCATCGGAGCCGCACCCCCACGGGCCGCAGGGCGCGTCCAGCCCCGCGTGTTCGTTCCAGGTTCTCGCAGGCGCGCCGACGTGCTGTCCCCGCACCCTGCCCCGCACGCTCGGAGTGTGACTCCAGAGGAGGCCCAGCACGGGCGTGAAGCCGAGCCGTGTTCCATGTTTCTTGTGTGTAAGGGGCGCGGGACCATGTCTCCAGTCCGGCATGGCCACCTCGGGGTGGGGGGGGGGTCTCAGTTGGGGAGCCACGTGGCTTCGCAGTTGTCACAAGGCAGCTGGTGTGGGGACGGGGGCGGTGGCGCTCACTCGGGTCTCGGGCCACAGGGACAGCCAGTCATTCCAGCCGCCGCCCCGCTCGGCCAGCCACCCGGACACGCGAGAGCACACGCATGCGTATTTGCCGTGTGGGGGCCGGAGCTGGGGTGGAGCCCGGGCTGGGAGCCCGGGCTGGGCTTGCCCGTGGCCTTGGCCCCTCTCCCAGCAGCCACCCACAGCCCGAGCCTGTTCCCGTGCACTGACGTGTCCCTGAGCGGTACGTTTACCTGCTAGATCGGGGCGAGGGGAGGGCTGGGTGCCCTGCCTGGGCCTCGCGTCTGCAGTGACGGGTGGGGCTGTGCCTTGCCCACTTGGGGGCCACACGCCCCAGTCTTGTGCACGTAGGAGGGCGCCCAGGGCCAGGTCTCCGAGGCGCTGGCCCTGAAGCCTGAGCACTGTCTCCGTTGTCTGCGCGAGATGAAGCACTGCCCCCCCCCCCACCCCGCCCCTGTGGAGGCACCTCGGCGTCCGGACTGCGGCGGGGCCTGGCGCTCGGCCTGGTGCCGGACGTGGAGGTGTGCTCTCGCCGTCCCCCATGCTCCCACCCGGCTGCCTGCCGGCCGAGGGGACCCCACCCCGGCTTCAGGGGCAGACGTGTGGCCTTCGGAACAGATCACTTGTTCAGCCGGGAAAGCGAGGGTTAGCCCAGGCCTGATCGCAGCACGGTGGTGCGGCGATCGAGAAAGCTTTGGATTTTTTTGAGTAAATTCTTAATGTTTCATATTGTTAATATTCTTAAAATTTATTAAATGTTGTTGAAAGCCTTATTACTATTTTCAGATCCTTTCAATAAAGCCACTTGTTTTAAGAGTTGGGTTGACCGGTACCTTTATTTGGTTCTTTGTAACCACCCCACAGACAGGGCAGAGGGCGGGGTCTCGCTGTCTGCCTTGCCGTGGACTCTGGCAGGACCGGGGCTGGGAGGTGTCTCCGCTCCAGGGGCTGGAGGCTGGGTGTCCGTGTGGGCGCGGCCACCGGTCCTGCAGGAAGGAGCAGGAAGGGTGCAGGGCATCTCTGGGCCACACGTTAAATACACAAACACTAAGGAAAACTGGTGAGTGAAGAAAAAGTGTAGCATTTTGTGTGGGGCCTCATGCAGAGCGGCCCTGGGCAGAAAGGACCCGCCAGGGTGTGAATCCAGGGCCTCCACAGGGAGGGGCTCAGAGTCCTCGGTCCCCCAGGCCCATGGGCCCTCGCCCAGCTCCCTCCAGGCCTTTTGGGGTTGACGGGGCCTGTGGGACGGACCCTGGAGCTCCTCCGCTGCCCCCCCGGGGGGTGTGGGGCACGGCTTTGCTGGGACCCACTTGGGCGCTGCAGACACTCATGTCAGATCAGCCCTGTAGGCCAGAGCCCAGGAGAAGCCAAACCACCACCCCAGATGTGCCACCGTCACCCTCCGCAGGTGTAAGCAAGGGCCCCGGCTGGCATCAGATCCCCCTTCCCTGTTCTGCCCCTTGGGCCAGCTCTGGAGGCCAGCCAGCCTCCCCTGCCCCTGTCCACCGCTCTGCCTGTCAAATCACGAGTGAGTCTCGCTCTGGGACAAGTCACCCTCCGGTGAGGATGGAGGTGTCTGCTGGCTGGGGAGTTTGCCCTGCCCCCCCCCTCACCCCCCGAGGAGGCAGGCACCCGGTCGGGTGGCAGGACACCTCTGTCCGCCTGCTGACCACGGCCGTCTGAGCAGGGGCAGAAGTGCCTGCTGGCACCCAGGGTTTGGGCGTGTGGACCTCAGGCTGAGCCCGGTCCCCTGCCGTGGCAGAGGGTCCCCTTTGAGAGCAGGGGCCTGGCCCACAGGATCGCTCTTCCCCAAAGAGACTGTTGACCTCTGGGTCTGGACCTTCCAGGCAAGGGAAGCCTATCAAAGCCGGGGGCGCCCAGGGGCTCCCACACACTCAGGACAAGTCCTGATGACAGCGGCGAGGCGGTATGTTTGTAAACGCCGGCTTCACTTCGCACGCCCTTCACCTCCGGGCCCAGCGCGGTCCTCTGGCCGCCAGGAAAAGCCGGCGCCAGCCCTTCTCCTGCGCACGCTCGCCGCGTCCCTGAGCGCCGGGCGGCCTCTCCGCCGCGGGCCCGGACTGCCACCTCGCCGCTCCCGCGCGCTGGGGCGCCACGACGGGGGAATGGGGGCGAACACGACCCCTGCAGCACCGGGGCTGTGGGTCTGAGGGCGGACGGGAAGCTCCTCGGAACGCCCAGCAACTTAAAACACGAACTGTTTATTTCTCACGTTCCCTTCTCCCGGCCGTGGGCGACCTCGGGCACAGGAGAGCGTGGCGAGTGAAACCACGGGGACGCGACCGTCCGCCTCGCGTGGCTGGACTCCACCACAGCCCCCCGGGCTGGGAAGCACGTGCCCCTGTCCACCGGCTGGACCCCGGCGGACCGGCGGCACCGTCCGGGCCGTGGCAACCCCCTGGCGTCGGCGGGAAGCCCCAGACACTAAAGAGCAGGTCGCGGGGAGCGGAAACGGGCGGGCAAGCGCTTCCTGTACGTCACTTCCGGGCCGGCCAAGCACTTCCGCCCGCGGCGGGCCCCGCCCGCAGGCCGGCGCAGAGCGGGGCGGAGGGGCATTGGCCGCCCTCCCTCCCGCGGAACGGGCCGCCCGAGGCTCCGCTCGGGTCGGGGGTTCTGCTCGGGGCCTCCTCGGCGTCCGCGATAGGCGCTCCCGCCCCGTAAGTCCCGCGGAACCCCGCCCAGGCAAGCCTCGGCCGGCGCGCTGCTCCCCGAGCCCCCGGCGTCCGCACCGTCAGTGCCGCGCGCCCTGAAGGCCCCGACGTGGGGCCCGGGCGACCGCAGTCAGACGGGCGCCGCGCCAGCCGCGTGACGAGTTCCTCGCGGGCCACGCCCCCACGGCCCTCCCCGGAGGCTGACGGGCCGCCTCCCAGCCCGGCTGGCGGGCCGCCTCCCAGCCCGGCTGGCGGGGCGACGAGGGACCGAGGGCCCGGGTGGGCTCCTCGTGCGCGACAGCGAGCGGCCGGGCCGCCGTCGACGCCCGCAGACCGGTCCCCGGCACCCCCGGTGGGCTAGCAGACCGCGCACCGGCTGTCGTTACGCAGCCTCTCCGCCGGTGGGTGGTGGGGCCTCCTCGCGAGGCGCGCTGGGGGCGGAGACGCCTTCCTGCTGGAGGGCGGACCCCTGGCCCGCTTTCCGGGGGAAATGGCGCCGTCGCTGCCGCCGGGGTGCCCCTGGGGGCCCTGGAACGCGCCCCAGCGCCATGGAGTGCGGGCCCTGGTCGGGAGCAGCTTTCCCGGTGCGCGCGCCGTCCGGGTGGTTTGCCTCAGTGTGGGCGTCCGACGGACGGGGAAAACGCTGAATAAAGCAAATGACAACGGTTGCCTCTGGGCGCCTGGGACCCCGTCCTTGCTCCAGTCGGCCCACCCCAGGGCTCGTGTCCTTGTCGCCCCCCCTCTGGCCCGGGGGCTGCCCCCTCCACCAAGAAGCCCTAAGCTTGCCGGCGGAGTAGGGCTGCTCTTGGTTCTCCATCCCACCCCATCCCGCCCTTTTTCAACCGCCTTCCCCATGGGGAGACGCCGTCCCATCTCCTGCCCCTCGCCTGGCAGGCCGCACCGGAGCCCACAGCTCGGCCCTGGGGTGCTCATGCGCTGGCCTTGACGCCTCGGCTCTGGATGCCGCGGGTGCACCGTGGGGTTGGGTGGCGCCAGCCTCCCACTTGGTTCCTGCTGCCGAGGCCGTGGGGGGACACAGGTGGGGCGGGACGGGGTGGCGGCACCCGGGGGAGGGGGCAGGGAGGGGCACTGAGGGTCAGGCACATCACAGTCATGGGAGTTGATGGCATTTAAAACCCGGGCACCAAGGCGCCCCTGCGGTGAGTATGGCCGTGGGGCAGGTGCAGCCGCTTCTTCCGTTCTGGAGCCAAAGGGCACGACCGCCCACGAATTCACTGCGTTCCCTGACGGTCCTGTCAGGGCTGGTCCCAGCCCCGGGGCTCGCTCAGTCGCCTCAGTAACTCCCGGCAGGCCCCGGGCTGCCACTGCCGCGCAGTCATCGGTGACTTTCCTTTGACTGGGTTTGGGTTTGTGGGTGTCCAGGGGACACCCCGTCTCCCATGCTGGTTCCCTGGAGAATTCGTTCAGGTTCGCGCTGCTCTAGGAAATAAAAACCCCGTGTAGAGGCAGAAGCTTGGGCCAGCGGCCTTTTTAATGTGTGGGTTTTTTTTTTTTTAAATGGAGGTCATGTGAATTTCAGTAAAGTTACTGAAAATATGTAAACTTGCAACTTGAAAGTATCATCTTAAAGCATAAGGGAACAAGGTCAGCATGAAAAGGGAGTTAAGAAGGAATAGAAGGTTTTTACTTGAACGAAATCTGCTTTCAACGTAGACATTAGAAAATGGATAAAAGCCAAACCACAACATTTTAGCGGATCGGCTCACCTCCCCAGGCTGACCATCAGGTTCGGTGACTTGTGCACATTCTGAACCGGCTGTGCTCTCCAGGCCGGAGCGTGTCGTGCAGAGTTCCGGGGACTCGGCTCCCGGCCCGTGACAGACGCACCTTTGTCCGCACTCGCGGGGCTGCGGCGGCGTGTCACGGCGACTGCCACGGTTCCCACAGATTCCTCCCTGGACACGTGGGCAGTGCCCGGTTTCCGAGCTTTAACGACAGAGCTGTTGGAATGTCCCTCTGCGTGCAGGCAGGGGCTGGTGTTGCTCCGCTTCTTCAGGGTGCGTCCCCAGCGGTGGGCTCCCCGAAGGACGGGGTCGGGACCTGCGCACTTCCGTGCACTGCGCCCGAGTGCCCTGCCGACGGCTGGGGACGGTCTCAGGGTTCCCAGCTGGCATTTGAGAACACCCTGAGTTGTGTGCTCTAGAATAGGGATTCTTTGTTAAAAAAAAATACATTCCTGTTTTATTTACTTGTTTTAAAGGTGTACTTATTTCTACAGAGGGGGATGGGAAGGAGAAGGAGCGAAATATCAACGTGTGGTAGAAACATCAGTGTGTGGTTGCCTCTCACACGCCCCCTACTGGGGACCTGGCTCACAACCCAGGCGTGTGCCCTGACTGGGAATTGAACCGGTGACCCTTTGTTCTGCAGGCTGGCACTCAATCCACTGAACCACCCCAGCCAGGGCTAGAATAGGGATTCTTAACCTTGGGCCACAGGGCCCTAGAATTGAGGGGTCTGCACACTTGCATGGGGCAAACTGGTGTCTTCATTTTCACTGAGCTGGCTTCAGCTGAACTTCCCTTCGGTGGGGAGTGTGCCCCAACGGCACAGTCCAGGCACCGTCCCCACCGGTCCTGCGCCCTGCCCTGCGTGGCAAGGCTTGCTGCGGGCTGCGCCCTGCCGGGGCCGTGTTGTGCCAGGCGGCACGTCAGTGCACTGAGGGTGTCACAGCCTTGCTTCTCGAGATGTCTCTTCTCCGTGGACCCGGTTTCCCCTGAGTCCTAAAGGCGAACACTTTCTGAGGACGGGCCCTGGCAGGAGGCAGGTGGAGAGGCAGGCGCAGGCCCAGCCAGGGCCGCCCATCAGCTACCTGCTCCATGCCGGCGGGCACGGCAGCTTGCAGTTCAGTCGGGTTGGTTCTCGTCACGCGGGTCATTGGACAGGGGGCAGTCAGACCCGGCGGGTGGCGGGTGCCGCACGTGCTCGCGTGTCCGGCCTGCTGTGCCCCGTCTCCAGGCGGACGCAGGGCAGGGACCATCTCCCACCGCGAGGCCCTAGCGTCGCGTGGGCTGAGGGCGAGCGGGCAGGGGGAGACACGCCCTGGAGCGGGGGAGGCAGCTGCGGCTCCGGCCGGGACAGAGGCGCGCAGGCCCCTCCGGGCTCAGAGCACCCGGTCCCCAGCTCCCTCCCGCCGGCACCGGGTGCGGGGGGGGGGCCCCCCGCCCCCGCAGCCTCTCAGGGCCCCACTGCATCCCCGGGCGCCCGCTGCTCAGCTCTGCTCCGGATTTAACTGCAGGCCGAGGCCCAGCGGGGACACTGGTGCTCTGTGCTCAGCCCTCGCCCGTGCGGAGAAGACATGCGTGACCCCGGCTCTGATCTCGCGTGTTCCTGCACGCCACGCGGTTTCACTGCCGTCCCGTGCCGCGCTGCGTGGACACCCGCGCCGTGCCGCCGCTCAGGCTCCCGGGCAGACAGCCTGGTCCCCCCGGCGTGGCGGCCAGCAGGTCTCCGGCCTTCCAGAGGGTTCTGCCTGCTGTGCGTGGGCCGTGCCTCCCGTGCCGATGTTCACGTTTGCTCAGCCCTGAGTGGGGAGCATGTTTCCCTTCCGGACCTGCAGGTCCTGCCATTCCCTCCACACTCTGGTTTCGTGTCTTTAACGTGTTAGTTCCACTCTCTATGCTGTGTCCCACGTAATCCCCGCAGGTGTTTTTTCAGATGCCGCCTCTTTATTCAGCTCTGTCTTTCCTATTTAACCCACAGCTGAGTTGTTTCTGTAATTTCAAACCTTTTCAAACTTTTTCTTTTGAGAAGAGTTGCCAGAGGTTTTCCTGTGTAGCCTTCTGCCCACGTCCCCGAGTGTCACCCCCCCGGGACCTGGGTGGGGAGAGGAGCAGGGAGAGAAGACTGTTCGCTGGTCTGCCCCCCCACCCCCCCACCCCGGGTTAGGAGCTCGGCCTCCTCGGTCCGGTCTGGCGCTATCTCTCGGTCCTCCGAGGAGGACAAGGCGCCACTTTCTCCAGGGCAAAGACGTGCTTTTCCCCTTTGCCCCTGCGCGGGCTCACAGCCAGCCCTGGGATCTGTGATCTTTGACCCTCGCTTTGATCTTTCCCTGCAAACGCCCTCGGGCCAGAGCCTGTGGGGCAGATGGGTGGTGGGTGGGACCTCTGGGGCCCGTCCGTTCCTGCCTGTCTGCCCTGGGGGCAGAGCTGGGGGGCCCTGCCCCGCGCCGGGCTGTCTGCCTCCTGCTGTCCTGTGGTCCCGTGCCAGGGCCCTTTCTGGTCCGTGTCCGCAGCAGCGTCTCCCCGGGGCTGCGCGGCAGACTCCTCCCCCCTCCGCTTCCCTGGCCGGATCCCTGCCCTCGCGCCTCACCTGCGGCCACGGGCTGGCTGGGCTTCCTGAGGCTGCTGGGCTTTGCTCTCCGGGCTTTGCCTGTTCCGTCCCCCTGGGTTCAGACCCTGAGAGGCAGGAGGGCTCCTCTGGGGGCGGGCTCCCCCTCCCCTCTGGCCCCGACCTGGTGGGTTTCTGCCCAAGGAAGCAAACCCACAGGCAACCAGGGGCCGGGCTGCGGTGCGGTGTCTTGACAAGAAGGAGCCAGCTGACCGGTGTCCACTTACTTTTTAGGCCGCGCTGAGCCCTCGCTGTGAGGTCAGAAGTGTGTGGACGCACGACGGACACCGTGTGGATTCTGTGGCTCCTGTGCCGTGCGCTGCCCAGAAGAGCCGTCACCGTGGCTGGACACGGAGGCCAGGTGGAGGCTGCGCTCCCTGCTCTGGCCTGTCCCCGAGCAGGTGGGCTGTGGTGCAGGGTCTCTCGGCACCAAGAGGTGGTGGCTGGAGGGCAAGTGCCTGTCCTGGGCTCGCTGGGCCCTGCTCCGGACGTGGGGTGGGGTGGGGTGAGGTGGGGTGGGGTGGGGTGGCGTGGGTCGCCCACCCCTGCTGGGCTCCGCTCCGGAGGCCCCACGGCTGCCCCCACACGCGACGGAGGTGCCCCACTGCCGCCGAGCCCTGGTCAGGGGGTCCTCCAGGGCCCCGGGGAGGTGCTTGTGGGGAGGTGGGCTCTGGGCGCCCACAGTTCAGGGCGTTGGGCGCACCAGTCTGATTGGCTGAGACTTGAGGCGCCGTCCCCCACCCCCCTTTCCTCCTTCCCTCATCGAGAGGCGACCAGTTTGCAACGGGGACCCACAGTGAAGTCGGGGGCTGAGGGCCTGCAGCCCCTGAGGCCCCTGAGGCCCCCGAGTGAGGCTGTGGGCTTGCGGAGCAGCTGGAGCAGGACCCGAGGCCCACCCACGCGTGGGAGCGCTCTGAGATGTGTTCACGCGGCGCCCCACCCCGCGACCCTGGAGCTGCCATGGCCACGGGCTCCGTTCCCTCTTTTTCAGGGCATTCAGTACTTGTGTGTCTTTTCCTGGTTTTTATTTATTTGTTTTTAGAGACAAGAGAAGGGAGGGAGCGAGGGAAACATCAATGGGTGGCTGCCTCTTGCACCCGCTAATGGGGACCTGGTCCACAACCCAGGCACGTGCCCTGACTGGGAATCGAACCAGCGACCCTTTGGTTTGCAGGCCGGCACTCAATCCAGTGAGCCACCCCAGCCGGGGCCGAGTCTGCTGCTCCTAAACAGCGTGTAGGGCCCGGGCCCCGCACCAGCATCTGGTCAGCGGCATTTTCTGTTTGCCTCTGCGCTTTCTCTGGCCGCATCGGTCCCTTGGGCGTCGCCAGGGCACCGCCCACAGGCACGCTGCACTGTCTCCCCGCAGACGGGCGCTCAGGTTGCCAGCCGCAGAGAACGCCAGGTGCAGCCCCATCCGAGAGCGGGTTCTGTGGCCGCATCCGGAGGCCCCGGCCCCGGCCAGCGGGCGCCGCTGAGGTCAGCCTGGGCCTAGCGCGTCTCCGCTTCCTTCCTGTCTCTGCCGCCCGCAGCGGCACTTGACGGTCACGCCGCGACCGTTTCTGTCTGGAGGGGGTGTTTTCCCCCGGGGCCGGTCGGGTGCGTTGGCAGGGCTGCGGGGGCCTTGCCGGGGGGGGGGGGGGGCAGCTGGCGCCGGGACTCCCCGCTTGGCTGCTCTTGCGAGTCAGCGCGGAGCTCAGCGCCCTGGTGCTCAGGCCGCGCCGCCAGCCCCCGCCCTCACCGTCTCATGCGTCTGCGCCTGGGTGTCCGCACCTGCCACCGGGTCTGGCTGGGGAGCCCGGCAGCAGCTCTAGGGCACAGTGACACGTCCCCAGGGAAAGTGACCTGGTGCTTCAGGGGCCTCAGAATGAGGACTCGGCCTGGGGGTGGGGGGCTTTCCTGAGGGCCCGGGCCTGGGCTGAACTGGGCAGCCGCGGGCAGAGCAGCCCCGGTGGGGTCCCCAGCTCCACACGACTGGGGGACGGGGCCTCGGTCCTGCCTGAGCGGCTGGGAGGAGGAGGAGGAGGAGGAGAAGGCGCCGTGGCCTGGGGCGGCGGGGGTGCAGGTTTCGATGTCGACAACCCCGGGGAGGAGAGACCGGAGTCCGTGCTGCCTTCCGAGGGCTGGCGCTCCACCCTCAGCGTGAGGCCCCACGAGTAACCTGCTCGCTCTCACCCCGCCAGCCTCGCTCCTGCTCTTCGCCGGCGGCATGCCGACAGCCGGCAGCCGGGCCCGGCCTCCGTCCGGCCACCTGAGGTCGTGGGGCCAGAGATAAGGACGCGCCCGCTGGGACGCCATGGCGGCACCGGCGAAACCCCCGGCCGCGGCAGAGCTGGCCCCGGGCCCCGAGGAGAAGCCCCGGGGAAAGCCGCCCCTCGGCCGGGGCTCCCTGTTCGGCCACCGGAGTGAGAAGATCGTCTTCGCCAAGGGCGACGGCGCCCCGGAGGAGGGCGTGCTCGCCGTCACCATCACGGAGACCACGGTCATCGAGGCGGACCTGGGCGTGTGGAGCTCGCGGGCCCTGCTCTACCTCACGCTCTGGTTCTTCCTCAGCTTCTGCACCCTCTTCCTCAACAAGTACATCCTGTCTCTGCTGGAGGGCGAGCCCAGCGTGCTGGGTGAGCGGGCGCCGGGCCGGGGCGGGGGTGGGTGCGGGCCGGCGGGGGGCACGCGGGCGCTGCCGCCCTCCTGGGTCCCGGGCCGCGGCCCCAGCGAGCGCCCCGCCGTGTCGCCGCCCCGCAGGCGCGGTGCAGATGCTGGCCACCACCTGCATCGGCTGCGCGAAGATGTTCGTGCCCTGCTGCCTGCACCAGCACAAGGCCCGGCTCTCCTACCCACCCCACTTCGCCATGACCATGCTGCTCGTGGGCCTCATGAGGTGCGGGCGCAGGGGGCACGGGCCTGAGTCCTCGGGGCCCAGTGGTCACAGGGCGCCTCGTGGACGGTCCGTCCCAGCACACCTTTCCGCTCACTTCCAGGTTCGCCACGGTGGTCCTGGGCCTGGTCAGCCTGAAGAACGTGGCGGTGTCGTTTGCCGAGACGGTGAAGAGCTCCGCCCCCATCTTCACGGTGATCATGTCGCGGATGATCCTGGGGGAGTACACGGGTGAGCGGTCCTGCGGGCGCTTGCCGCCGCCCCTCCCCGTGCCCAGCGGGCGGGCTGCTGACACAGGCTGAGGTCGGGGGGCTGGACCGGGGAGAGTGACAAGCAGGTAACCCCGGTGCAGCACCCGCCCCAGGGAGGGAGCCGCCTTCTGCTCAGAGAGGAGGGCAGCCCCGACGCACCTGCGCCCTGGAGGCCCTGCCTCCCGGGTCCTTCCCACCCCCGGCCACTCTCCCCAGGTGTCCCACTGCCCCCATCCTCCCCACGGCCCAGCAGAGTGGACGTGCGTCCGCCTCTCCCGCCTTTAAGACGGGCAGTCTGCCCGCAGCCGCATGGTGCACGCACGCCCGCCCCCCGGCCGGCCTTTCCGGGAGCCGCATGCACTGCGGCCCCACGGCGCAGGCCCCGGGCCCCACGAGGGTGCGTGGTGCACACCTCCACCTGAGGGGTGGGCTCGCTTCAGTGCGGGAGACGCAGGACCCCAAAACAAGGCAAGTGCCCGCCTGGGGGGAGGAGCCACCGTGGGGACGAGGACACAGCCGGACTCCCTGCAGCTGGCCTTTCGCTGGCGGCGACCCGGTCGCACGGAAGCGGGGGCCTGGCTGCTCAGCCCGTCAGACCTGGGTCCAGGGGCTCTGGCACCGCAGTTCGGTTCCCCGCAGGGGAGGCAAGCTCTCTGCAGAGCAGCTGTCTCGCTGAGGGCAGTCTGCAGTGAGAACTCTGTTGGGGGCACAGGGGGCGGCCGCGGTCCCAGGACCTGAGGAGGGACAGTGTCTGCGCCTAGGGCCACCCGGAGCAGTGCCTGCCGTCCGCCAGCAGTGGCCGGTGCAGGCAGAGCCGTCTCGTGGGGTCCAGGGGCAGCCCTGGGGTGAACGTGTCACCCCAGCAGGCGCAGGCACAGGCGCGCAGGTCCGAGCCCTCGAGGGCCGCATGTGCCGTCCCTCGTGCAGGGCAGGGCCGGGAGCCCTCCTCAGGTGCTTGGCCCTCGGCCTGCCCCCCCACGTGCCCGAGGGCCTGTCGGCAGATTGGCCTCCTCCCCGACACCTCGCCTTGCGCTCCGGGCGGCGCCGCCCTGGGACAAGGCCACGGCCACAGCCCCTCGTCCACACTGAGCTCAGAGCTGCTGCCTCTGGGGTCAGAGCAGGGGCACCCACACCCCCTGGTGCCCTCTCCGGGAGCCGCTGTCCCCGCACCAAGCGGCATTTTTACCGTCCGCCTCGAGGTGCTCTAGGTTTCGGAAGGAAGCAGGAATGGACGACGCGTAGGTGCTCACGCCGCCCCCTGCCCCCCGAGGTTCACTTTTCAGTAGAATACCCCGAGCCTGTCTCTCCCTGTCCTCACTGGCAGGGGAGCAGCGGGGGCTTGGGTGTCCTCACTGCCCGGCCCCCCTCCAGCACGGAGGGGCCGGCCCGTGTCAGGTCTGGGTCTCGGCGGATGTCTGCCCCTCCCCCGTGGAGGGGGGGCGTCCCACACCGGACCAGCCAGCCACAGCCCGGTCTCCGTCTTGTCCTCTCAGGGCTGCTGGTCAACCTCTCCCTCGTCCCCGTCATGGGCGGCCTGGCGCTGTGCACGGCCGCCGAGATGAGCTTCAACGTGCTGGGCTTCTCGGCGGCGCTGTCCACCAACATCATGGACTGGTGAGTGCAGGCTCCCAGTGCAGAGCCGCTCGGCACCCCTCCCGCCCGGCCCGCTCCGCGCACCTGCGGCTGCCTTTGCCCAGAGAGCAGAGCGGCAGGTTCCCGTGAGGCAGCTTCTCCTCGAAGACGAAGAAAAAGACGAAGCTGCGGTTTGAGGAGGCGCGGGCTGGCCCTCAGACACGCTCGCGAGGGGTGTGGCCAGCCGACACGCCGCGGGGCCGAGTGCGGCGCGGGCAGCAGCTGCAGCCGGGTTCCTGGGGGCGAGGGGCAGCGGCGCGGTGTGTCGGCAAAGCCCGCCACCTGCCACCGGGACCTGTTGCTGCAGAGTCGCGCCCCCCCCCCCCGGGGCTGCCCTGGTTCCAGGGGAGGGGGGACGACTCCGTGGGTGTCGGAGTCCGTCGGCACCCTCACCGCCCAAGTCAGAGCGCTCAGCCTGAGGTTTCCAGTAGCTCGGCTGCGAAAAACCACAACCTCCATTCCACTTGTCGCCTTGGGGGCGCCACCCTCTGCCTCTGGGGCTCCTGGAATCGGGGCCAGCCACGTCGAGCATCCGGGGGGCACCGTGCTCGCGAGCTCAGGGCTTCCTGGGAGCATCGTGGCCCCAGCCTCGAGCTCCGCGGCCGCCCTCCGCCCCACGGACGCCCCCCGGGGCCTTCGGTCCGCGTCGCCGGGGCCTCCCTGCGGCTTCTGATGCCTGGTGCTCCGGAAGGGCCCGGGGGCGGCTTGGGCAGAAAGGCTGCTGGCCCGTGCTGGCCGCGCCTCCAAAGCAGCTGGCGTCCAGGTCCACCGGCGACGGTTCCTGCCGGGCGTCGTCCTGCCCGGCTTCCTCATGACACCGAAACCGAGACACAGCCGCCCGCTGCTTCTCACAGGGTGGCGGCCCCTTTGGGTCCCGGGGACAAGGACGCTGGCCGCGTGTGTGTCCCCCACACGGCTGGCCCGTCCGGGGTCCGCCCTTGCCCTGCGCCTGGGGCTGGCCTTCACGTGCCCTCGGGCCTGCTCCGGCTGCTGGCCCCGCGGGAGGGCTGCCCAGTCCGCGGTGGGCGCTGAGTGCAGGGTCCCGCGTCCACAGTGGGGCTCGTGCGTTGCTTCAGGCCGGGGCTCGGGGTCCTCTGACACCTGTGCGCTGGGCGGTCTCGGGCACGTCGCCCCACCCCCGAGTGCCTTGGTTTGCCCACGTGCGAGGCGGGAGGGTCGGCGCTCCCCCGGGTGAAGCAGCACCCAGGAAGCCCCGCGTGGGGGCGCTGCCGCCACTGTGCGGCTCAGGGGACGCGGACACCTGGGGCGTGCGGAGCCTCATGCCGACTCCCGGTGCTGATGGGAACCTCTTCTTCTTTCCATTCCAGTTTGCAAAACGTTTTCTCAAAAAAGCTGCTCAGTGGGGACAAGTACAGGTTCTCGTAAGTACCACACCGTCCGGGGCCGAGGGGCCCCTGTGCCGGGACACCTGGCACCTCCCCGGCTCCGGCTCCAGCGGCCCCAGGAGCGCCCTGGCGGGGGGGGGGGAGAAACACGGCAGAAACCCCCATTTCCCCCATTTCACCTGACAGGCACCCCTGTGGCCGAGCGGGTCGGCTTGGGGGTGCATGGGCCCTCCTCCTCATCCGGGGGGCGGGGGGGGCGGCACAGTCTGGCCTGCCCAGGCGGGGTCTTGCCCGGTGTCCAGCAGAGAGAGGCTCAGCCTCCCCCCCCGCCGGCTGTCCCCGCAGGGCCACCGAGCTGCAGTTCTACACGAGCGCCGCGGCCGTGGCCATGCTGGTGCCCGCCTGGGTCTTCTTCCTGGTGAGTGCGGGCCGGGCCCCGGCTGCATCTGCCTGTGCGGTCTGGGGGCGGAGCACGGCCGGGTGCAGGCCGTGGGGGCAGCCTGGGGGCTGCGACGCGCCCCCAGGCAGAAGGGACAGGGAGTGAGCGCCAGGCCTGGGCGGTCCCGTGCAGAGTCCCACCCACAGCGGCCGATCCGTGGCTGTGGGAGTTTCCTGAGATTTTCACGTGAGGGGGTTTAGGCTTATTTGTTCTTTAACAAAGATTTTCATTTATTTATTTTAGGGAGAGGGCAAGGTAGGGAGGAAGAGAGGGAGAGAAACATCAATTGGTTGCCTCAAACACAACCCGTCAGCAGACCAAACCCCCAACCTGGGCACGTGCCCTGACGGGAATTGAACCCACGACCTTTCGATTTGCGGGACGAAGCCCCGCCCACTGAGTCACAGCAGTCAGGGCCAGGTCCTCTTATTTCACAATAGCACGTGCCCACTGCAGCATGGTCAGCTGGGCGGGAGGGCACTGGCCGGGAGAGCGGGCCACTGGCCCCTCGCCCTCCCCAGACGCCTGCGCGGGCAGCAGTGCCCGCTGCCTGTGGGCGTGGGGTTCCATGGGTTCTCCCCACAGTGGGCTGGGTGGCGCGGCCCTGCCCCCACCCCCCCCACCAGTGGCTCTGCCCTGACCCGCCAGCGCCCGGGACGGCCGCGCCCCTGTCCGTGCAGGTGGCAGGGCCCCTCCGTCGAGCTGCCAGCAGGGCCCTCGGGGGCGCGTGGCCGGAGTCGGGGCGGTCGGTGGGGAGGCACGCAGACCTGGGGTTATACGGCTGCCGCCCGTTAGGTGGCCACAGGCTCGCCTGCCTCGTCGCGCAGCTGCCACCGCCCCCGTCTCCAGAACCTTCCGTCCTCCCGAACGGCACCTCTGTCCCCGACACGCTCCCCACCCGCCCCAGCCCCCGCACCACCGTCTGCTCTGTGTCTCCGGGGACCCCCTGAGAGTGGAGTCGCTAGTCGGTCCTTCTGTGGTGCGTGTCACGCAGCGTGATGCCCTCCGGGTCCGTCCGCGTTGTAGCATGTGTCACAGCTCGCCTCTAAGGACGGATACTGTTTCATCGCGTGTGTGTGTGACATCTTGGTGACATTCTGTGTGTCCGCTGGTGTGCACGCAGACACTTGGGTCATTTCCACAGTTGGCTGCTGCGAGCGTGGGGCGCACACACCTATTTGGGTCTCTGGTTTTGCTTCTTCTGGGGACACGCCTGGAGGCTGCCGGACTCCGTGGGAGTGGGACGTCTAACTCCCTGGGGGGCGGCTAGACTGCGCTCCCACCAGCAGCGCACGGGGTCCCGAGTTCCGCTCGCCCTCGCCGGCACTGGCTTCTGGCGGGTTTCGGTTTGTGTCTTCGGGGTCGGCCGTCGGTGGGGGGAGGTGGTGTCGCACGGCGCCCACACTGGGGCTCCCCCCAGTCCGGCGCCCTGGGGCCCGGGCCGTGCGCGCACTGGCCGCGCCTGTCCAGCCGAGCTCTTGAGCCGTGCCGCCCGGCGGCCCCCGCAGAAGGCTGCTGGCAGTGTCCGCCCGCTGACCCAGATGACGGACGCGTGAGGCACTGTCCCCCTGGGGTGGCCGGGACTCGGGGGCAGCCATGGAGTGCTGTGACCGTCCCCCACGCAGGACCTGCCGGTGATCGGCCGGAGCGGGAAGAGCTTCAGCTACACGCAGGACGTGGTGCTGCTGCTGCTGCTGGACGGCGTGCTGTTCCACCTGCAGAGCGTCACCGCCTACGCCCTCATGGGCCGGATCTCCCCGGTGACCTTCAGGTGAGCCGGGCCCGCGGCGTGCCGGCCTGCCGCTGTCTTGGGGGGGGCCCTGGGACCTCGCGTCTTCCTGAGAGGTGTCCGTCGTGGCCACGCGCTGCGGCGGTGCCGCGGTCACGTGTCCCGAGGACCGGGCCGTGGGTGTCGGTGCCGCCGCAGAGGCCCGCGGGGAGTGTGCGCCGAGCCTTCTCCCTGCTGGGGCGCGTCGTCCGACTTGGACCCCTCGCGCCCCTGGCCCCGAACAGGGAGTGTCTGCAGCACCCTGGGCGGCGGCCGTGGCTTCCAGACTCCCCCGAGGCTCGGGGCGGACGCGTCTCTGGGCCTCTGTCTTCGTCCTGGCCTCCCCGCGGGGCCCGGAGTCGCGTCCAAGTGGCCCCGAGCCTGTGTGTCCCGGCTGCCGTCAGCGGTGGGTCCGGAAAAGGCCAAGAGGGAGACCCAGTTTTCCTACATGTTCTATTCAGCTTACAAAGACAATGCGTCCTCTCACAAAAAGTTCTGAAAAGGCAGAAAAGTAGAACACGTAAAGTTTAAATTTCCCGTTACCCCGAGAGACAGGCCTGTCCACATTTCCCGTGTCTCGTGGCAACCCCACTCCCACCGCGTGTCGATGCCGCTGGCGCAGGACCAGCGGCCCCGGGGGCGGCCCCTCCGCGGGGCCCGGGGAGCTGGCGCAGGTCTGTGGGCCGCCGCCTCCCTCCCGAGAGGGCAGACTGAAGCAATTAGGGGCGACGTGTTACAATGTCCACTACTTCCTTAAAAGCACCAAAAAGGGAAGAAAATACGGCAAAGTGCTAATTTTTAAAGATTTTACATATTTATTTTTAGAGAGGGGAAGGCAGGGAGAAAGACAGGGAGAGAAACATCGATGTGTGGTTGCCCCTCACACACCCCCTGCCGGGCACCTGGCTGCAACCCAGGCCTGTGCCCTGAGTGGGAATCGAACTGGCGACCCTTTGATTCGGAGTCTGGTGCTCAACCCGCTGAGCCGCACCAGATGGGGCAGAGTGGCGGTTCTCAAGTGTAGGAAGTGGGGACGTGGCTGCTCGGCCCCCTCCTCCTTGGTTTGACATGGTTCCTGATAAAAAGCGCGCCCCCCCACCGGAGAGACCGGAGGGACCCCCGGACAGGCCCGCCACGGGGCCGGACGAGGGCCGGCGTCCGGGCAGGCGGCCACCCCTCCTCTGTCTTGCAGCGTCGCCAGCACCGTGAAGCATGCCCTGTCCATCTGGCTCAGCATCATAGTTTTTGGCAACAAAGTCACCAGCCTGTCGGCTGTGGGCACCGTCCTGGTGACAGCTGGCGTCCTGCTCTACAACAAGGCCAAGCAGCACCAGCGGGACACCATGCACAGCCTCGCTTCGGCTGCCAGCCGGACGCCCGACGATGGCGCAGAGCCGCTGATTCCCAAGGACCCCAGGCCGCACCACTGAGCTCTGGAGCCTCGGCAGGTGCCGGGGCCCCGGGCACCGCGCGCTTCTGTCTCCCAGCCGGCGCGGTCCCCGCCCCCTGCCGCCCGCACCCTGCCCGTTCCGTGGGCCCGCTGGGCGGGAAAAGGGCCTGTGCGGCCCCAGCCGCCCCTTTCTGGGGTCTCTGGTCAAAACCAGCAGGACCTTGCAGGGTCCCCAGACGTTGGTTCCCTGTGGGGGGGCCAGAGCCAGCTGCCACTGAGCCACTGCTGCACACTGTGAAAAGCGCCGCCCTCGGCCCCACGCGGGGTGCGGGGGGGGTGGGTGCCGCCAGCCGCACTGCACACCAGCTCCCACTGCAGTCAGGCCGGGCTCCGGCCCCTCTGTGGGTGACGGGCTCGGGGGCGACTGTGAAGCCAGAGCCGGTCCAGGTGCCAACGTGGGCCACTCCCTGCTCCGTGTCAGTGGGGTGAACTCATCTGCTCCAGGCCAGACATCAGGGCCACCCGAGGCGCGGCCCGCCCTTGGCCATCTGGGGAGACCTCTGTGCCCAGACAGAGGGCTGGGGTGCCCCAGGCCTTGGCACAGAGGCCGTGGAGCCTGGCGGGGTGGGGAGGGGACACTCCGGGCGCAGAAACAAGGATCCCCCGCTGCGGAGGGCCGGGTGTGGGGCCCTGCCCTTGTCCCTGAGGCGTCCACTCCCTGCCCGGGAGCTGCCGGCACCTGGCACCACTTAGGGAGAAGTGACTCAAGGGAGGGAGGCCCCACCACCCCAGTCTGCTGGGCCCCGCCCCTGCCTGCCCGGGCGCTCACGCACCCGTGACTACCACCTGCAGTGCTGGGCTCAGGCCAGGGAGACTCGGGTGGTCCCTGCCACTCTGGCCCAGGCTGCTCGGTAGGGTCCCCGAGGGTGCGGGTGTCCCCGTCCTCTCCCAGCTGGCCCCTCCTGAGGGGGTGCGGGGGGGGGGGAGAGTGTGTGGGGTGTTCACGGTCCTCGTGACACTGCGTGTAAAATGGCAGTGCAGTTTCCTAACAGGCAGGCTAGGGCACAGACGGCTCTGGGCGTGTCGGGTCACCCACTCTGCACCGCTGCCTGGCTCGGCCCGGCCGTCCCCCCAGAGCGGACAGATGACCCTGTGGGGTTTGCGCCCGGACTTGGGCTGAGACTCCCATCCTGGAGGGACTTCCAGTGGGGCCTGTCTCCGGCCAGGCTTGGAGGGCCTCTCCTTTGCACCTGTGGCCGGGGTTGTCCCGAGCCCTGGGGCCGGTCGGAGGCAGCCCTCCCTACCCGGGGAGCAGGTCTGGCCCCTGGCCGCCCGGAGCCCGCCTGTGGGACCGAGAGAAGTGACTGACAGCAGGGCCCGAGGCCCTCCCCGCTGCCCCGTCTCCACCCTGCTGCTCAGGCCTGGGCCCCCACAGCCCCGTCTCTGGTTTCCCCGTGGGCGCGTCGAGGGGGAGACGCAGAAACTGCCTCCTCGGGGCGGCGGGCCTCCTGGAAACGGAGAGCGATAACCACGTCGCGTCGGGCTCTGCCTGCTTGACAAGCCTGCCGCGGTGATGAACTAAAATGAGGCCTTTTAGACAACAAGTAACCTTTTCACAAAGCCACCCTGTGGCCGGAGGACAGGCAAGTGCGGGTCACCTGCTGGACAGCCGCCCTTTCACAGCCAGGTGTTTCTGATGTGCCTCCCCCAGGTGCCTGTCCCTTTCCTCTTCTCCGCTTCCCCCCAAACACAACTACAAAACTAAGGGGGATTCGTTGGAGGTGGCCGGGGAGGTGGGTCGTCATGTTGATCTGTAGGACCAGAGAGAAAGCTGCGCCCTGGGGCCCCTGCCCGCGCCCTGGGGGATGCAGCTGAACACGGCCCTCTGACCGGGACTTCCACAGGGCCTCCTCGGACTTCGTCCTCCGAGTGCGAAGGGACACACCCACCTGCCTGAATCCCAACGCCCTCAGGGAGCTCTGGGCCCCACCCACGATGGGCCCTGCCCTCCGCTCCTACTGTTGGCTTTCAGCCAGTTTTGATTTTCCAAGTTTTTGGACCAGAAGTGAAACGAAGATTCCTAAATTATTAGTAAGTGAGGCAATTTCCCGCAAAGCTGCTTTTGAGACCCGTCATCCTGAGCTGCGGCTGGTGCAGCCCTTGCTCGGGGCCCACATTCCTTCCGTCACCCGCAGCTGCGCCCCAAAGCCTCCCACCTCTCGGCATTCCCAGGCCCGCCTGCGCGGAGTCACGCCTGGCCTCGTGTCTGACAACTGTCCAGGCGACCCTTTTCACCGGCTTTGTCTGGTTTCTGCAGCGTGTTCTGCCCACCGAACTGTCCCGGGTGTGTGTGCACCAGTGTCGAGTCTGCGTGTCCCCCTCCCCCCCCGTCACTCCTGTGTCTGTGGCTGTCCGTGCCTTCTCACACACACACACACACACACACGCTCACACCGCACTGAGGCTGAGGCAGGCCGCCTGCTCACGCCCACTGATACGCAGGCACACGCGGGCCTCAGGCGTCCACCGTCCGCTACTGCTCGGCAGCACAGCTGCTCGCCTGAGCCCAGCAGCCTCCGTGTCTGCGTCTGAGCAGGAAAGCTGTCTGCCTCGGAGAGCTGAGGGCGCCCTTGCACAACCCCAAATGTGGCTCTAATTTGGGGAAAAGTAAACACGGCGAGCAGAAAACACCGTGCTGCCCGAGGAGTGGCGGCCACGTGGCGCTGTGCTCGTGGCCTGTGCCCCACATGCTTCTCCCGACCCCAGGGGTTTGCTTGCTGCTGCGCACGCTCCCCTGGACGGGCTCAGAGCGGCTGGTGGGTGGGGCGGACACGCACGGGGCTCTCTTGGCCGGTCCAGCCATGTGCTTCCTCAGGCCTGCGGGGGAGTCTTTCCACTGCTCCCCCAGGCCAGAGGCACTCAACACGGGTGTCGTCACGGGCAGAGGCCCTGTTAACTGCTTCTCCCTCCCTCCCGGAGATTTCACACTGAGGGCTTTATCGTTTCCCCGGATGTGCACATGCCCTGGTGTGGGCCTCTTCGTTTTCTTCGTTTCTAAGGAAGCAAGCCCCGGCCTCCCAGTGTTATCTGCCTGTTTCTCTCTGTGCTGGACGAGGAGCCAAGAGCAGACCGGGGGTCAGTGGCTCGGCTGGCCGCCAAGGCATGAAACTGCCAACCTCGCTGGCTGGGATTCTGAGCGATGGCCGCGGGACCCGTGCCCACGTGTCCAGGCCGGGTCAGAAACTGTTGTAACTGGCAATGTCTTTTGTTTGTCTGGGTGGGGTTTTTTGGTGTGTCCCCCCCCCCCCCGTTTTCATTTGGGGAAAACTGGCGTCTGGCTGATCTGCTGTTTCTAGACTGTTCACTGCTGTCCCAGCTGCCTGTGAACCTGCCACTCGGGGGAGCCGGCCAGGGCTTTCCCCGCCCTGGGGAGGGGGGGGTTCTGTCAATAACCATCTGCTGCTGCATCAGAGCCCAGGAATCTTCGCCTCCTCCCCAGCAGTGCCGTGGGGTCCTTGCCCGAGGCGTCCACGGGCTGTGTTCTCCGCCCATGCCAGTATTTGTGTGACTGCGCCAGCACGTGACACAAAACGGTTCTGTGAAGTGACTGAGTCACTGCCCCTTCGCTGTGGTAATACGTGTATCCTGTGGGTGCCTCCTGCCCTTGTCCAAATAAAGCCACTTCTGGCAGTCACTTGGTGACTCCCGTTCTGCAAAAGTAAACAGGTGGTGTGCCCTCGTCTTCTTCACTGGGCGGTAAGCGCCGGTTCCGGGGTGAAAACCTGGCCTGGGACAGCGAGCCCCGTAGAGTGGACACGACCGTCCAGCGGGAAGGAGCCCCAACCGCCAGAGACCCGCGGAGACCGGGGAGGGGGCGGGGCCTGCGCAACGGTGCTGCCCAGCTGGCTGTCCCCTCCTGTAAAACATTTACTCATTTACTCTAGGCAGAGGGGAACGGAGGTAGAAAGAGGAAGCGAAACAGCGACCGGCCGCCTCTCTCACGCCCCTATCCGGGGCCGAACCGCAACCCAGCCCTGCGCCCTCCTCGGGAATCGAACCCCCGGCGAACTTCCGCTGGGGGATGACGCCCAGCCTACTGAGCCCCGCCGGGCAGGGCAGCCTCGCCTCCAAAGAGGAGCCGGGGCGCCGGTCCCGCGGACCGAGCGGCGGGCTCCGAGGTCCCCGCGCCGCGACCGGTCTGGGGTGGCCCCAGCGCCGGGAGCTGAGGCGGGGCGGCGACACGCCCACCCGCCCGGGCTCGCGGCAGAACGCGTCGCTGGGCGCCGAGGCCGGAAGTGACGCACAAGGCACGCGCCAGTATAGTTTCTTCTCGGGGCCGGGTCCCAGCTTCGAGCCGCGCTGGCGTCATCACCCCGCGCCGACGCAGGAAGTAACGACGCTCCAGGCGCGCGCCGGGCGCTGTTTCTCCTCAGGCTCCGGGACCCGCGGCGGCGGCGGCGCAGGGGTGAGTGGCGGGCGGCCGCCTCGGCCGAGGCGCGTCTCCTCCGTCCCGTCTTGTCCGCGTGGGAGTCGGGGTTGAGGGGGCGGCGGGCCCCGACGCCGCGCGAGCCCACCGCTCGGACCCTCCCCGGCTGAGCGCGGCCGAGCCGCGGGAACCGGGGCCCGCGGCCGGGGGCGGAGACGCGGTGCTGCCGCCGGCCGTGCGCCCGCCGACCGCCGACCCGGGGCGCGGGTTCTCTCGGCTTGCAGTGTTCGAACTCCAATGGGTGATGAAAAGGACTCTTGGAAAGTGAAGACTTTAGATGAGATCCTCCAGGAGAAAAAACGCCGCAAGGAGCAAGAGGAGAAAGCCGAGATCAAGCGCCTGAAGAACGTGAGCCGCGGGTCTTACGTGCGGGTTTTCCGTAGCGGAGACGAGTGTGTCCGCCCCGGTGTCCCCGCTCGGACGGCGCGCCCTCGGCGGCGGGGGGCGGGGGGCAGCGCAGCGGGAGCTCGGCTGGAAGCCGCCGCTCCAGCCTCTGGGGTCGGGGAGGGGCGTCGACGTGCGCGGGGTCTGCACGGGGGCTCTGTGTGTGTGTGTGTGTGTGTGTGTGTGTCCAGGCGTCGGGGTCTGCAACGGGCCTTCCTAGAGACTCCCCGCAGCGCGCACGAGCGTTTGCCCGGGGGCGCCGGCCGGGCGACCCTCCGTGTCCGCGGAGACGCGGGCCCCGCGACGGGAGTGACGTCCTCTCGCCTCTCAGTCTGATGACAGGGACTCCAAGCGGGACTCCCTGGAGGAGGGGGAGCTGAGGGACCACCGCATGGAGATCACCATCCGGAACTCGCCCTACCGCCGCGAGGACTCCATGGAGGACAGGTGAGGGCGGGCGGGCCGGACGCGGGCTCCGGCGTGGAGCCAGGGGTCCGCGGCCCTCCTCCTCGGAGAGACGGGGGGCGCGCGCGTGTTTCCTGCTTGTGGGGTCGGGCCGCCCCGCGTGCATGCGCACGCACCCCCGCTGGGTGTTTGCCGGGGTCTGCGGGGGTCGGCGCAGTCACCGTCCGAGGTCTCTGCCCGCGGGGAACCCCGGCGCGGCCCGGGCAGGCGGCCCCGTGGAGGCCCGGCCGGTCTCTGCATGTGCTTCCTCTCCGCGCGGGGCCCGCGGCGGGCGGGAGGCCACCCTGCGCGCTCCCTCCAGGGCTTCGGTCGTGCAGTTTCTTGGAATAGCGTTGAGTCCCCGCTTCAGGTCGCTGGGTTTGATTAGAGCTGCGGGACTTTCCGTCAAACAGCTTCATTGAGGCACAAGTGACAGGCCGCACGTGTTTGCAATGTGCATGTGACACGGCTTTACACGCATGTGACACCGTTGGTGCAGCAAGATAACGCACGTGGGTGTCATCCCAGTTTTCTCAGGCGTTTTTGTTTCCTGCGCCACCGTGGTTCCCCCCCCCACACACACACTATTCCCACGAGTGAGTGCTGGACTTACAGTCCTGTCCTCAGTTTCGTGGTGAGCCGAGTCTCGTGAATGCTGGTTCGGACTTCGCTGTCCCCGAGACCGGAGCCCTGCGTCCCCCCACTGGAGAGCGCCCGCCGCATCCCGACGCCCCTGTGGGGCTCTCTCCCACCCGACACGGCGCCGTGTGTCTCGTTGCAGAGGCGAGGAGGACGACTCCTTGGCCATCAAACCGCCCCAGCAGATGTCGCGGAAGGAGAAGGCCCACCACAGGAAGGACGAGAAGCGGAAAGAGAAGCGCCGGCACCGCAGCCACTCGGCGGAAGGCGGTACAGGAGCCCGCGTCTGCCTATGCCCTGTCCCCGGGCCCCGGGTCTCGGTCTGCCGCCTTCTCCGGGATCGGTGGGGAAGGAGAGGAAGTGAGGTTTTAGCTAAAAGCTCGGCTTTAGTGTGCAGCACCCCGAGCAGCTGCTCCCCTCGCACTCTGGTTTCCTCCTGCTGTGGCGTCGGCTCGGGGCTCGGAGAGTCCTCGTCCCTCCCCGGGGTGGGGGACGCACTCTTCAGCGCTGACGCGCTCTTTGCGTGGACTGGGTGCTCAGCAGGGTCCTCGTGGCGGCCCTGGCGGCCCCGCTCCCAGGGGCTGCTGGAGCCTGGGGAGGCTGAGTGGCCTGGCCCGGCTTCAGGGCACGCGGAGGAGCCAGACTTTGTCTCCCGTCCTTGACGAAGGGCGAGTTCTCAGAACTCACGAGAGGAACTCCCGACCACGGCTCGCCACAGGGAACTTGAAAGGTGGAAAACCCCACTGGCCCGCTTAGTGATAACCTCGTCTTGTGTCGGGTTCCTAATTCGAGGTTCACTGCCGTAGTTTTAGGTTTTTGTCTTTTTTACCACAAAACCACAGCTGTTCCTCCAAACCATTAATCAGACGCGTGTCCTTTGCGGGACGCCTCCCAGCTAAGTGTGCGCACGTCTGCCCCTGCGTGACGCGTGTCCTCCTCGCCAGGCAAGCACGCCAGAGCCAAGGAGAAGGAGCGGGAGCACGAGCGCCGGAAGCGGCACCGGGAGGAGCAGGACAAGGCGCGCCGCGAGTGGGAGCGGCAGAAGCGGCGGGAGATGGCCCGGGAGCACTCCCGGAGGGAGAGGTGAGGGCGGCTGTCGGGGCTCCGCGCGCGCGCGCGTGGCGCGGCCGTGTGCCGGGGGGGCTCTCCCGCGGGGCGGCCCCGGGGGCAGGGCGCTGTCGCTGCGTTTGGGGCCCGGAACTGGGCGTGAACCGCGCGAGAGGAAAGAGTGAAGGGGACGGAGATCTGTGTCTCCGCCTCTTCCCGGTGGAGGCCGGTGGGCAGGCCCCTCCGCAGCCAGACCGAGCAGAGCCCGGCTCAGGCCCGAGACCCTGTGTGGGTGCGCCACGGGCCTGAAGGGGGGCTCCCGGCTGGGGGGGCCGGGGGCCGGACTTGGGAGTTCAGACGCAGCTGACGACAGGTGAAGAGGGGGAGCGGGTCCCTCTGGCCTGGGCTCCCAAGGGTGGTGCGGGAAGTGCCCCGTGGCGGGACGCGCAGCGCTGTGCTGTGCTCAGGCCGCGGTGAGGAGGGGCGCGTCCGTGAGACGTCCGCCTGGTCCCCGCGTGCAGATGCTGGTGCGGGGCTCGGGAAGTCCGGTGGAGGCAGGGGGAGGTCAGCATCTCTTCCCTCAGCGCACGCTTCTGAGTTCTGCTCTAGGCCAGGGCGACTGAGCAAGTACGGTGTTAGAGTTCTCTGGGTCACAGTGGAAACAGACCAGTTCTTTCCAACAAACAGATGAGGAAAAGTAACAAAGGAAGCCCCAGAGGCCTTGAGAACAGGCCTGGAGCTGGGACACCGGGCTCTTGCGTCTTTGTTTGCAGGTGCCTCTTGGGGGGCTCCGGTTCCCAGGAGAGGGAGTCTGGTACCCCCAGCCCTGTCCTCTGTGGTCCAGGGCGAGGGGACACAGACCTGTGGGGACAGCAGGCCCCTGCAGTGTGTGGAGGTCATCTGCACAGAGAGCCTGGGAGGCGGCCTACTGGGAGGAAGGTGCTTACGTTGCATGTGGCCAGGACTGCCCGAGATGGGCATCTGAGGAAGCCATGTGAGCCTTGGCTCTTGTGCCGCAGAGGGTGCAGGCGGAGCTGAGGCCACCGGGAGGCGCACACTGCCCCTGCGGTGCCTGGGTGTGCAGCCGGCGTGTGAAGCATGCGTGTCTGCCCCGTTGCACTGCGTGTCCAGTGCGGGCTGGCCGTACAGCCGTGAGACCCCCGGGGCACCGGGCTTGACAGTGGAAAGGGAGGTGGGAAACAGGCAGCACTGGCCACCCTCCGCAGGGGGGCACGTTTAGCCCGGCCGGTCATTAAACAGCAGCGACAGATGAAGAGAGAAAACTAGAATCTGCAGTTGCTACGTTACCTAAGATGTCCAGTTTTCAACGAAAAGTACCGAGATGTACAGAGAACTGAGAAAGTAGGACCCCCGTTGCGGGGGCGGGGCACCGGTAGAACGTGGGTGCCCCGTTTCAGGAGAGATCTGGCTTCAGAAGAGACCTGGAAGCCAGGGGGGAAGGTGGGGGGACCGGACGCGTGCCTTCCGGGGAACAGAGCGGGGAAAGGCCGGAGGAAAAGGAGCAGAGCCTCGCAGACCTGTGGGATGGCATCCACGTGATAGCAGTCCAGGAGAGAAGGGGCGGGGGCACAGAAACGCTTACGAAATCATGGCCGAGCCTCGGCCAGCGCGGCTCACGCGGCTGGGGGTCGTCCTCCAGACGGAAGGCCACCGCGCCGGCTGCCGGGCAGGGCCGGGCCTGGGTCGCGGGTTCAGTCGGGGC